TAAAGCGTTTGCAAAAAAGAAGTTGCATTTTCCGTCTGCTTAAAGTATCTTTTGAACTCCGCCCAGGTTTCTTTTCAACTTCTTCTACGATCTTTGACTCGCTGGTAAAAAAAAAATAGATCATTCTACAATATGGCATAAAATTTTTGGCGATCGGAGTAAATTTCACGTAGTTATAGTGCCACGCCTCTTTGGGGTCTGAGTCGAAATTCTGCTGTTGCCGGCATTTTTTCGAAAAAATCTCTCGGCTACATATAGTGCGTGTTAGTGCCTTGCGTTGAACAGAGTTTCACCAAAATCGTAAAGACCCAATGCGAGAAATTCAGCCGTTTCCAAATTTAGGTCATAATTTATGCGAAAATGATAAGCAAACACGTTTATATCTAATAAACAATGAGATTTAGGCCTTGTGTCTCAAGAAGTATGGTTATTGAACTGTTGTATGCCTATAGATATATTCATAACTTTATAGAGCTATTCTTGGCAATAAACAAACCCTATTTTAGGAGAAACAGATGTCACAATGAAGAGCACTTTAAAAAACTACTTAAGTTGACACTGCATTTTTGAATTGAAAGAATCATGAACTTGGACAGCAGTTCATCCAAAACTTCCAAATCACTTCTCCGTTTCCATCCTTACCGCAAGCAGATGCATCCTCTTCCTTTACTACATCAAGAACAATCACGGCCTCGCTTCAACCTTCACCTCATCGACTATGTTCACAATACTGTTTCTTTCACTAAAGAACTATTGCAACCTGCTAAATTGCGTTCCATTATTTATCCTAAATTATGTAACACCCACCCACACACCACATATTACATTACAGACGTTCAGAACGATAATGACATAATACTTACATTTTCTGACAAAAACGTGGGTTGGGCTCTTGTGCCTTCCTCATGGTTCTCCACCGAGTACAAACGACTTCTCTCCGACCTTTCGACCTACAGACGTATCGACAACCTTAACTGTAAACAAACCATTACAGAATCCCACACACTACTTGGACAACTCAAAAAACGATTCTCAACTGTTATCACAAACCATGACAACTCGCGACTGTTGTTGTGCCACCCCAGAAGACAAACTGCAACTGCCCTACACGAAACTACTACCCAAAGTACATAAACTCAACAAACCCGCATCATACGACAACCTGAACAAACTAACTGGAAGACCAATTATCACTGCACACAGCTGGATAACATCCAACCCCTCACCTCTACTGGGAACTGAACTAGCCAGTATCATTTTACAACTCAACTGAAACCTTTTTGAAGAACGAAACATACGATACCCTTTGATTTACAAGTCATATGACTTGCTGCTTTTATTAGACAAACTACGTATTACCAAGATGTACCACTTATGTGCCACAACTTTTGACTTCACATCACTTTACACAAAAATTTCATACCATGACACCACTCAAGCCATCATCACGAGCTGCAAACTGCTTAATTTGCTTAATTTTTATAGGGATTATTTGCTTAACCTCAATAATTTTATTAACCAGCGTAACTTTTTTAGGGCTGGTAATACCACCTACCAGCAAATTAAAGGGGTTGCTATGGGCAGCTACCATAGCCGGCAAATTGCGGACCTCGTGCTCCTACGAAGCGAATTTTCATTTTTTAACACTAACTGCCCTACTAATAGCATTTTCATTTCCTGCCGTTATATAGATGATGGATTTATGCTAACCAGCAAAGCTAACTTACCTAATATTATCTCTAACCCTTGCAGCTCTTACCCGCCACAAATTACACTCACTTTCACGTCAAATCACACTCCCTTCCTCGAAACCAACATTATGCGCCAAAGATAAAGTATATGCATTGGGAGTATGGTTTTCAACTTTAAAAGATACTCCTGCACAAGTCAGCTTTTGGGGAATAATAGATAAAATCCAAAGTATTCTAAATAGTTAGTCAGCGAGAAGACTACCTCTTGGGCAAAATCACCGTAATAAAATCTCTAGCCGTGTCTCAAATAGTCTATCTGTTGTCATCCCTACCATCACCCCAAAAAGTAGTTCACGAAATAAATTCGATATTATATGATTTCCTTTGGGATAGCAAAGGCGACAAAATTAAGAGAACAGAAATCATTAATGACTACGATAATAAGGGCGGACTAAAGATGATTGATATACAAAGTTTTCATGCATCATTGAAAACGAAATGGGTTCAAAGCTACCTAAACACAGAGAACAAAGGTAAATGGCACGTTTTTTCGATTACTACTTGGAGAGATACGGCGGGAAATTATTGTTCGTGTGCAATTTAAAACAAAAAGATGCATCACAGCTGAAAATAAAACACCCTTTTTTAACACAAATTGAAGAATACTGGTCCAACTTAAATTATCGTGAGAAGGACCCACTTTTTGAGTCAACATGTATCCGGCATAACTCACTGATTACGATCGATAACAAACCTTTTTTTTACAAATCATGGTTCAAAGCGGGTGTGGAGAATGTCAAAGACCTCCTTGATGAGGCTTCCAGATTTATTAGCTTCGTTGTTTTGTAAGGAAATTTAAAGTTAAAACTAACTATCTTGAGTACTATAAAGTTGTATCTACCCTAACAACGTAAAAAAAAACTTTGTTTCCCCATCAATGGAAACGACCAAACCCAAGATGCGACTAAAACTCTCCTATCCCACACAAAATTCTGCAAAAGGGCTTATCGACGCCTCATCAAAAAAAAAAGCTTCAACGCAACTTAAAAGCCAAGGTAAATGGTTGGCTGAGGACGGTTAATTGGGAAAGCACATATTCATTACTATTTTGGTGTTCTAAAGAAACAAAACTGAGAGAGTTTCAGTTTAAACCTCTACATAGACGAATCGCAACCAATGATTTTCTATACAAAATAGGAATTAAACAGTCTGATTCCTGCACCTTCTGTGGAGAACCAACGGAAAACCTGGGAAAGCACATATTCATTATACCATTTTGGTGTTCTAAAGAAACAAAACTGTGAGGGTTTCAGTTTAAACTTCTACATAGACGAATCGCAACCAATGATTTTCTATACAAAATAGGAATTAAACAGTCTGATTCCTGCACCTTCTGTGGAGAACCAACGGAAAACCTGGTTACTTATTTTGGAGCTGTAAATTTTCTAACGCCTTTTGGAAAGACTGCTATCAATGGATAACTCAGGTAAATTAAGGCATGGGTCAACAACCATTTTCCTGTAAAAATGAGGGGGGTGGGCTATAATATGAATGGTTTATCATGAAGCAGAAAATACCAAAAAATATTACACAACACCAAAATTGACGCTTTAAACTAGACCAAAATTATGCAAATTAGGTCACGTGACCTTACCTCTCCTCAAAGTTTCAAAATATCTTTAAGAAAAAATGGGCACACTTTTTAGCAAGAGTTATCTTACTTTACTACCCTAAGAAGATACAAAATATAAGCCACTAAAAAACTGTGCTTGGCAACTTTCAAATATCTCGTTTATTTTGAAAATAAACAGGTTTTTCGACTAGTGCCCAGTCTCCCAATACAAATGTATCATTTTAACATGCCTTTCCTTTGAAAACTCTCGACATTGCCAAGCGCAGAAATGACATACTTAACGGCCTTGTAATTATGAAACTAGTAGAAAAATGAAGGAAACAAGAAAAAGTGTGCCCATTTAAGTTCAAGAGTTTTTTGGGCGTGGCGTGTCACGTGACCTCATTTGCATAATTGGAGCATACCAAATAGATAAAAACTAGCCGTTTATGTGTCTGACAAGTTTTTTTGACTTAACACCTGGGGACCCATGCCTTAATTACCTTGAGAATGCAAAACATCTCCAAGGTAGAACAATTCAACCTCTCAGGAGCTCCCTTATTTGGCTTAATTAAAGATTAAAGATTTACTACTTCACCATTTACTACTTATTGCTAGGAATTCTATCTACACCTGTAAACAAAGAGATACGCGCCCAAATGTCCAAATGTACATACAAATAGTTCAACGCACTGTGGAAATAGAAAGGCAAATTGCAAAAGACCATATATCTTTAGACACTTTTAAAAAGAAATGGTCTCGATTAAAAACCTCCCCTTTTTAAACGAATGTACTATTCTGTGGAAGTGAACTACAGGAGGCGCTCTGTAGATGACTTAGATGTTTAAGTTGTCTATCTGTTTGTTTGTTTTTTCCTTTTTTTAAAAGCCATTGTGCATGCGTGTGCGTATAATATATGTGCAATAATCTTCATTCTGGCAATTATAGTTTTCGTCAGTTACCTTACTATGTTATGTTAAAAAAAATAAACGACAAGTAAAAGAGTTCCTGATTTTTCATGCATAAGGGTAAAGATAATTTAAATTGTAATTTTCAACGACTTTTGTAAATTGTAATTCACTCTTTTTTTTCTAGTTTTCTATAATTTTTGTAATTTTTCCTTTGTTTGTGAATATGAAATAAAGTGTTGTAAAAAAAAAAAGATACACAAGAATATGCAAATCAGATCAGCAATATAATCTATTCTTTTCGAAGAAAAAATCTCTTATTTTTCTTGGATTTTCCTGGACCTTTGTTGCTCTCTGCATTTTAATACCCCGTCTTACTGGTCTACAAGAATTCTATTTTGTGCCGAGCTATGCAGTTTGCTTAAACAGGCAGATGAGTGATCTAGGAAAAATACTACACTACATCGTCGTTCTTGACTTGTTTTTCGCACTTCCACTAGCAGTAACAATATTCAGCCACAGAAAAGTTTTGAAAAAGATTTGGGAACACAATACTGGAACGGCTCGAAATTTTCAAACAAACAACAACGAGACAGTCACAACAAAAGAAATTCGACTAAGCAAGTCTCTGTTTGTTGTCGTCTTTGCCTTCATGTTGTGATGGCTACCAGCTTGGGTCATCACCATCCTGACGAGATTGTTGTTTGGAAATAAAATGCCTCCCAATGTTCAGTTATTTTGCACTTTTTCCTTAAATATTTCGAACGCTATCCCTTTATTTATGCTGGAATGAATCCTGTGTTTAGAAGAGAGTTTCGAAGATTACTCGTATGTAGATTTGGCGGAGAGAAAGTCGAGAATCATCAATTAGAAGACCAACCATCTCGTGGGTAACTGCCCCGACAGCCCCGCCTGCATTTATGGTTCCAGCGTTCCCGAGAACACCTGATCGCAGACTTAGTAACAACAACGAGACTGCGGAAGAAGAGATGGAAATCTTCCAGTTCCAAGCAATCAAGGATGAAAAGGCCGAATGAAAAGATGCCAGTGACCGATGCAATAATCTCTTTAGCTTAAGTTTCATTCAGTTTATGGTGTTCTTAAGTAAAACAGCCTGTCATCTTTGCTAACACACGCCATTTACCTATAAAACGCAATTTGCTTAATTTAGTCAAACAGACAATGCCAAGTCACAGGGGCGGATCGAGGATTTTTTTTAGGAGGGGGTGCACTCGTCACTTGCTCTACTTCAACACCAATAAACAGAATACCAGTTGTATTAGAAAACCGCAGGTCATCTCGGGGGGGTTGGGCACCCCCTGCACCCTCCCCCTAGATCCGCCCCTGAGTCATATTTTCTCAGTACAAATACTTCTGTCCTCTGCAGGCAGGTCCGCTTTTGGTTGGGTTATGCCTCTATTATTGATTATCTTTGAGCACATTTTTCATTTTGTAGATTGGTAACTGAAGTTATAAACAGCAGGCATTCGAATAAAGCATAGAGCAATGAGGTAAAAAAGTCAAGAAAAAAACCTCTTGCAGGTCGTCAAGTTAACCTGCAAAGGAGTTGTAGAAAAAGGTACAAAATGGACTTCATTTTGGAACAGAATTAACTTGTCGAAATTGACCGGCCGGGTGTAACTGTGCATTAAGGGCCAGTGTTACCATTTTCTTCATGAGGTCTATCTATCACTAGCCTGACCTCAGCCCATGTTTGAATGTTTTCGTAAAAACGTTTAAAACTCAACCTAGTCGTACGCATAGTTCAACGAAGCTAGTTAACACATTTATATCTTACTTTATCATGATCAGTTCTGTTTTTACAACACAGTAAGATCTATACGTAATGAATTCTACAATATTGTATGTTTGTAAATTATACTCTGCAAGATAATTCCGTGTCGAATTCCTGTGTCATTCCTGACTGGGCCCTATCGGGCCAACTTGCGGTACTGAATTTATCTTTGTCAGGCTTTTATGTTCTCTTGTCTTTGTTCAGCTGATCCGATTCCAGTTGTCCCAGTTTGACTTTTGTCCTGAATACCTTGAAACAGGAGGGAGGAGGCGTCTCTATTGTTTTCGGGTATTTGTCTGTGACCAGGAGGGAGGAGGCGTCTCTATTGTTTTCGGGTATTTGTCTGTGACCGAGTCATCATGACAGTGTGACGTCACATAGCAACGACTCGGACCTTCGCGTCGCTTGATCAGTTTAGCGTGGAGAAGCCATCGAAGTTAAACAAAGAAAGGGCTAATACAGGCTTTTGTTCAGCGTTGGTAATACAATTTGTCGTAAGTGTGCAAGCTTTGTTGCTTATATTGTTTGTGTGTAAAAGCTGTGTTTGTTTTGTCCTCACGTTTGTGTTAAATTCTACTCCAATTCACTTCGGGTCAGTGGCGTGGGCGCCATTTTGAACTCGGAACTAGATAAATCCACCCTAAACTTCAGCCGTTTTCTCTTTAAATTGCCAACCAAATCTCCTCAGAAGAGGAGGTTTAATTCATCAATAACAGAAGTTTGATACGATAGTTGATTTGTGTTCATGTAACGAGCCATTTTGCTCATCAATCCTTTTGAATGTGCAGATACTGTGTTGAATCGCGTGTGGTTTCTTGACTTCTTGACTGTCTGGGGTAAATTTTGCAGACTTTAACGCTGTCATTGTGTGTTAAGTTTGCTTGTTTGTTTACTGCTTGTGTCTAAGGTTTGCTGGTTAATCTGGTGCCCCTCTGTTTTGATCAAAGTAATTGAAAATTTACTGCTGTTGGTTGTTTTATTCTGTTTTGTTATTGTTGGTAAAATTTGCTATTTGCATTTGTCTGCAGTTTTTTGTTGGCTTTTTCCCCGTATTTTACTTCCCTGTGTCATTGTTGTTGTTGCTTGTTAGCAGTGTTGTTGGCTTCTGTATTTGCCTTTTAAAAAGATTATTCTTTTAATTAATTTAGTGTGACTATTACTTGAGAAAAAAACAATAATGATAATATTAAAGACATATAAAAGAGACAGAAAAAAATATTTTAAATAAAATGTACATAGCTTAATTGAAGAAGTTATATTATTTTAAAAAGGAAAAATTACTTAGTGAGAAAAGTAATAAAGTAAGATCATATTTATATAATATATATCTATAATTATTTACTTTAGAAGAAGAAAACATTATGATGAATAAAAACATTTTATTGTGTATATATTTGACAATAGGCTTCTTGTTGTATGATTTATATTTTGACATTAATTGGCTTTTTAGTCCTCACAATCATAAGATTGTGTATCTTGTGATGGCTGTTGTGCGTGTCCATATTGTTTTTGCAATGGTTGCAATATCTTTCCCAGGCCTTTCAAACCTTCCATGTGCCCTCTGCATCCCTTCAAAGCCCCCATCTTTTTTGGAGACACAAATCCCTCACTCCTTTGAGTTACAAAGTAAAACTTTGCATGTAGTAAAAATGTTGGTCTCCTATGTTTTGTCCTTTTTTATTATCCACTTCAAAGTGAAGGTAATTTTAAACTTCAACCTCTCAAACTTCCTTGTTTCCCTTTTAGCCTTAACCACCATTCTTTTTACACTGACGTTTTTGTTTTACAGGAAAGTATTGTGCATGGTTTCTTTAAGGCAAACGATTAAATATAGATCAACTTTAAATTGTTTGTTAGAAATGCTTCTATTCCCTGCTGTTATTACCTTGAAATTTTTTCTATCTTTGCTTGATCCAGTTTACAAAATTTTGTTACATGTAAAGCCCCAATTCAACTTTTCACTGGTACAATATTTTTGGAGATTAAAATCACAGCTCTTTTTCTCCTGTCTAATGACCGTGTGCCTTTTTGTTTCTCATGGCTTTTTACTGAACCTTGGTATTACAAAAAATTGTTCTTTAAACTGTGAACTTCAATATCCTGTTTACTTGGCAACTGCTGCTTTTTTGCTGATAATTTCTGCAGTCCCATTTTCATTCTTTGTGGGTTTATATGTTGTGACTATTATTATATTTGGGGAGACCTTTGATGCCAGTTCCAAATCCTGTACAGAAATGCCACTCCTTTTTCCAATTTTATATCTCTCATTTGGTGTACTTTTAAGTTATCCCTGTGCCAGACTGCTTGAATTACACCACCCTGGTTTCCTTTTTAGCATGTTGATAAGATCTAAAAGGTTGATGACAACAATTCAAATTGTTGATATAACAGGCAAGCCACACACCCTCACTTTTGCACCATATGCCACAATAAAAGATCTAAGACCTCAAATAAATACTAAATTCAAAAGGTTGATGACAACAATTCAAATTGTTGATATAACAGGCAAGCCACACACCCTCACTTTTGCACCATATGCCACAATAAAAGATCTAAGACCTCAAATAAATACTAAATTCAGAATAACAAGTGATTTGTACTGGTTGTCATGCTTTGGAAAGCCTTTATTCGATTTTTTACTTTTGGAAGAAATAAGAGGAACAGTTTTTATGCATGGGCGATTGATGGGAGGTGTACAATGCTGTCTGAAGGGATGTGAGAATGAGGCAGGATCAAGAAAATTTGATAGTATGGTTGGGCGGTATGAACTGGAATGTGCCCCTGATGATGTTACACCTGAAAATCTCAAAGATCTTAGGGTATGTGATAAACATTACGGCAGTTTATCAGCAAGAGGGCATAAGCCTCCTAAGGGGAGAAGCTCCACTAGATCATGCAGCGATGCCCAGCTGGGCATCCTGAAAGTTACACCATGTATAGTGACTTGTTCACAATGTGGCAACAAGGTTTGCCTGAGTAGTGATGTTCCCTGCAAGAAACACCACATAAATATTTTCAAAAATACGTTTTCAGTGGGATGCAATTTTTTGAATGAAAGAACTGGCAATAAGACTGATTTACATAATGACTTGTATAGTGTAGATCCTTGTGATGGAACTTTTCCAGACTACATATGCATGTCATGTCAGCCTTTCTATTTAAAATCCATTAAAATAGAGCATGAGTACAAAGAAGCTCAAAACATCTTCCACCAAAAACAAGGTTGTTCAATTTCCACAATAACGACAGATGATGACAGCAACAAGCATGAGTTTTTTGAGGAAACAACTATTAATCCAACTAAAGGACAAGCCACTGTGCTATCAGAAAAAATGGTCTTGGATAGAGAATTTGCTGTGTCTGATGCTTTAAACTGTAAAGCAGGTATTTTTACAGATGTGTTGAATGAAATAATGACACAAACTGCTCCAAAAGGAACCAGTAGATGCAGGAAATGACAGTGAAGTACAGTCATCACCTCTGCCAGTTCATACAGTTTTTCAAACAGTTATTTCATGTATTTTTCCATGGACAGTGTCATTTACTCAGCACACTACAGATAATACCATGAAGGTTACTTTTTCTCTTCCAAATATCGGAAAAGGTGGTGTAATAACGAAGTGGAAGGAGTTAACCCTTTTTCTTCCTTCCGGAATAAAAACATTTCCTTCAAAGGATTTTAGTCCATTTACAGTAGAATTCTTGGGTAACAAAATTGACCATGGGGAACTCCCACACAATATTTTTCAAGAAAACATATTAAACTCTGCTTTGGGTGTCATGCTTAAAACTATTGAAAACTTACCGGTTTGTCCAGGTATATATGATCCAGCCCTTGTTGATATGGCTGAAAGAAAAAGGGAAACAAATTTATACTTTGTGGATGAAAAAGGAGCAAATGTAGATGGAGAGATTGTCAAGTGCATTAGGAGCTTAAATTGCACCTACAAACTACCTGTCCATTCAAAAACCAGATGCCACAAATGTCAAGATATTTTACGATCTTGCTTTCGTTGGAAAACAAATCCTTCATCTGAATCATTTGAGTCTAAAACAGCCTATGATTCACACACTAAACTCAGTAATCTTTCACGTACTGAACTCATAGCCAGAGCAAAAAATCTACACAAAGTGGTTGCTCAAAGCCAAACAAAAGCAAAACGATTTTACAGTTTGTACCTAAAAGAGAAACAAAAAAATGTGACACTTGATGAACCCACAGAAAGTGAAAAACATGCAATGCAGACCAAATCTTACATTTCTGATGCATTTGATTATTCGCATGAATTTCAAATGGTCAAAACACAAGATCTTTGGGAATATAGGGAATTTGACAGATCTCTCATGCCAAAAGCTAGCAATAATCACGATCATCTTGAACAAGTAAGACGTTTCATTTAGAAAAATGGTTTTCAAAAACCAATAATTATATCATGTGATCTTACAACTGGAAGAGCCTATATCACTGAAGGAAACCATCGTCTTTGGGTGGCCATTCAGGAAGGTATACCATTCATACCATGTTGTGTTATTCCTCACTGGCTGCCCCCCAATGGCTCTTACAAAAAGCTTGAAATTGATTTTTCCACTTCAAAATTTGGGGAAACAGTACTTCCTGAACAATTGTGATTGACGGTTGCACAGACTGGTTTCAATAAGTGCATAACACAATAACCTTCATAAAAGATGTATCAAATCTATTTCTGTTTGTATACATAAACTTCAACACTATCATAATTATAGTGTTCTTAAATTAAAAATAATTAGTATTAATTTGTTGATTTTAATATTTTGTACTTTGACAATAGAGATTCCTTGCACCCCTGATCAAAAATTATTTAATGGAATATTGCAGGTAATATTGTACAATGCAACTGCACATAGATTCTAGCCTAGCAGTGTTATCCCTCTAGCATTAATATATGGAGAGCCGTTTGAATTGTAGAGCCTGAACAATAATTTTATAACCTGCATGTATTTCAGAAGCTATCTATTTGCCATTCAAAAAATTACTTTTTTCTGATGTTGATTCACGCACAAAACATGCATATAAGTCTCCTGTTATTAGAAGTAAACGAGTAAATTTCAAAACTTACCACTGATCTCTACTGCCAACCTGTTGCAGCAGGTAGTGACTTGATGTAAGCAGATTACATTTATGTCGACTCCACATTTTTTCATTCCATCGACTTTAAAGGGATTGATGAGAAGAACTACGCACTTTGGCTCGCTGAAACTCGGCGTACATTAAGCTCAATGTATCATATACCAATCCTCCTATTCTGAGATCAGGACATTGCCACACCACCTCGCACGTTGCCAGAAAGCGATGAACGATCATACAAACTGTGCCAAATTATAGACACTTCGCGGTACCTTTCTTCGCCTCATGAGATGCTTTAGAAACTTTTTCCGACTGAACCTTATGGCGAATATTTCCATGTTATTTTTCAAAAGCTCTGCCTTATTGAAGAAGGCAAAAGATGAATCCAAACATTCAGAAAATTGACATCCTTTACAACGTAACGAACAAGAAATTTGCCCGCCATTTTGAAAATCACCGATGTATGACGTGACGTCACACTGGCAGTGATCAGTGAACCAATTCTCGGTTTTCACATGACGTCATCAAAATTCAAACTAAGAAACTATCGATTCTTCTGAGATTCTGAGTTTCATGAGGTATTACAGCACCTAAACACCTTTATTTAAACAGAGGTTTGGTTCGAAAGGGTTCTTCGTTTTGCGATAGAGGACGTTTGAATTTCTAGGCTTTTGCGTGACGCGGCATTTAGCTGGCGGCCGGGACTGCTCTTCTGTGGGTTAAAAACATTACCAGTTTTGGGAGATTTTGCTATCTAAACATTCCTTCTGTCAGAATAAATATCACTTTAATAGTTTACATAACATAACATAACATACATGTTTATTCAAACTCATAATGACCACATGAATTCGAAAGGGAGAGTCTAGAGGTTAACCCTATGAATAAAACTCTCCTAAAAACAACACACAATAAAAATTACAATAAAAATTACAATAAAAATTACAACTTTAAAAAGGATTTGAGTTTACATTTAAAAAGTTCAAGGGAACCGGCTTCAACAACATTACTAGGTAAATTGTTCCAGTAACTAATTACATTGTTAAAAAAAGAATATTTAAAACAGTTGATTCTAGATAATTTACAATAAAGCTTATACGAGTGATTTGCCCTAGTGGATTTGACTTTTGCGAATTGAAAGAATTCCTCAAAATCCAAGTGTGATAAGCCAAACACGATCTTATAACATTCAACAAGAGAGGAATATGTCCTACGACTGGACAAAGATGGCCAATGTAACGAGTCACAACGCTCTTCTTTTTTGCCTAAGAGCTAATCTTGACGCGCGTCTTTGCACGCTCTCTATTGCATGAATATCTTTGACAAGATATGGGTTCCAGACTGGAGCAGCATACTCTAGAAGTGGTCTGACCAATGTTTTGTAAAGCAATGAAAAAGTTGTTGTATTAGCTGTTCCAACAGACCGTCTTATTAGCCCTAGGACTTGGTTCGCCTTATTCACCATGGTACTAATATGTTCCTCCAAGTAAGATCTTTTGATATAATAATTCCAAGATCTTTAAAGCTCTTGACATCTTTTAAGGCCGTACCTAGTTTATAATTCGTAGTCGATTTGTCACGAGAATGCGTTATTCGCATTGCTTCACACTTTTCCTCATTGAAACGAAGTTGCCATTTTTTCGCCCATTTACCAAGATTATTCAAATCAGTTTGAAGATATTGTTCATCGAGACTAGGGTTGCGAAGCTCTCTGTAAATCTTAGTGTCATCCGCAAATAATTTAATTTTTGAAGAGACACTATCAACGATATCATTTATATATGATAGGAATAAAATTGGACCAAGAATAGTTCCCTGTGGGGTACCAGATATCACAGGTGCCCAATCAGAAAAAGTCCCTCTTACAACAACTCGTTGCTTTCTACACGTGAGGAAATGCCTCAACCAGTTAAGAAGTTTGCTCTCAATACCGAGGCTATATAACTTTATGAGTAGACGCTCATGAGGAACACTATCAAAAGCCTTTGCGAGATCAAGAAATACAACATCTGTTGCTACAGATGAATTCTAGATTTGGCGAAGTCATGAAAAGTAGAGAGTAATTGGGTCACAGTAGACCTACCCTGCAAAAAAACCAAATTGGTTTTTGTTTATCACGTTATGGTCTTGCCAAAATGACGTTAACCTATCGCGTACGATTTTTTCGCTGATTTTGCATATCATGGATGTAAGCGAAATTGGACGATAATTCTCCCTCAAGTGTTTAGAACCTTTCTTATGAAGTGGGACAATGTCAGCTGATCTCCAATCTTCGGGCAAATGGCCCAGCAGGAAAGATTTGTTAACCAGAAATGAGATCGTGGGCGCCAATTCGAACGCACATGATTTTAAAATTACTGGTGAAATTCTGTCTGGACCCGGGGACTTGTTCGTTTTAAGAGACTTAAGATGCTTTAAAATTTCCTCAGTAGTACAGGAAATATAATTAAGTTTCTCACAAACTAAAGGCTCTAAAGAAGGCAAGTTGGTGAAGTCCTCGGAGGTAAAAACAGATGAAAAATAGGAATTAAAACTACTAGCAATACTCTCATCGTCAATCCGTTCTTTGTCACCAACCTTTAAAGATACCAGAGTGTTCGTACCGTTACGTTTGCTTTTAATATAATTCCAGAAAGGCTTGGAATTACCAGAAACTGCAATATCAGAGGCCATATTGTTGATATACGTCCATCGAGCTAAGTTACATTCTCTTTTCACGACATTGTTCAGTTTTCTGTACTTCTCCCCAAGGGCTGGATTGCTGCTTTTTCGCGCTTTGTTATACAACAATTTCTTTTTTCTGCACAACCTAATAAGATCCTTTGTTATCCAAGGTGCATTACATGAGTTTTTTAAGCGATGAATTAACGCATTAGTAGGAAAACTCAAAAACAGATGTTTCTGTTGGTTTCCGGCGGCCATATTTGTGCCCCTCAAAGGGACACAAACATGGCGCCTCCATACAAAGCTTTATAAATTTGGGTAAAACGTTTTTCCTAATATCTCGCATATGAAATATCGCACAGACCTGATTCTTGGCAAGGTCTTTTGCTTATTTATCTTCTTTTATTTCCAAGATTCGGGACTTTCTGTATCGAATGGTTTGCAATTTTATTTTTGATTGCGTGACAGTGAAAACCGAGAATAGGGACCTTAAGATACCCTGGACGCGGCGGTAAAGAGAACGGAGAAAGCCTGGAGCGAGGACGCCGCCACCTTCGTGGGAAAAACAAATTAAGATTCAGCAGGTTGAGTGGAGTGCTCGCCTGACGGGAGAGGATAGAGTAATGCGTTCGTGTTTTAATTCCATGACGTCTTTTAGAAAAACTCGTGAAGTCTTGCTTGATTGATACCTTAACGATCTTTTATTGGAAGAAAAATTTGTGCTGCCGGCTATGACTCCAGTTTCTCTAAAAAAAAAAAACAAATTTCTTCGAGGGAAACTTAAGGGTATGATCGGAGTCAGGAGCCGATTGTCGGAGTTCAGGTTATCAGCTATTTGTTGCCGGACTTTTTCGCTTTCCGTTGTTCTAGATCTTGCCTTAAAACGATATGGTTCTGTTATGAGAACTTCCCGTACTAAGGCGAGATTTTGATCTTCAGACCGCTCCATCGCTGAACTGAAAGTGAACAAAATAAAATTATAAAAGTTAATAAATGAACCATGGCGTCTTGTTCAAGATCTCAATTTTCTCTGACATGTTTAAGTTTATTACAAGCCTAGATTTTTGTTTTCCAACAATTTTTATTCGACTTCTCGTCTCTTAAATTTTTCAAATACTATCCTAAACCGAGAACGTCGTCTCCTTAAAAACAAGCAGCTATAGTGTTACATTTGTGTCGAAAGACTCAGCGCTTTCATTCTCAGTTGCCGCCAAAACACTGAACCCAAAAGGCTTGATAGCAAAAAAATAAGAGTCAATCTTGGGAGAGCACCACACTAAAACACTTAAATGTGTCTCTTGAAGTAAAATGGATCGAAAATCCTGTACGAAAAGCAATTTCTGCACTGAAAACAAGAAAACCAACTCACCGTTTTACGAGGCGGTCCAACTTCTAGTTTTCACCGTCGCGACTCCAGGTCGACGCTGTGGCATTATGCTAATTAGTTCCAAGAATTGAACATTTCACTTCCGGTTGACGTCCTCCTCGGCCGCGTCCAGAGTATCTTAAGGTCCGTAATGTTTACCCTAGAGACGGCCCCTCCCTCCTGCCTTGAAAAGAAACCCGATAATGAGATATACATCATCGTAATTCAGCGTTACTCAGTTAAGTACAATTAACAAGCAAAATGAGTACAAATATCTCACGGGGTACTCATAAAAATATACTAATAAAATAATGAGCTGAACATCACTCACTGGGGCTAGCGTATATGTTGTAGTTAGTTTTTTATCTCAAATAATTTTTGTTTAATTTTCTTTCGTTTGTGGGTATGGTAATGTATGCTAATTAAGTTGAAAAAAAGAAAACTAAAAATTACCTGAGATAAAAAAAAAACTGCAACATATATGCTTTGATATTCGGGTACAAAACACTGAATACATGATCTGTAGAAGCAAATCGGTTAAACATGTTGAAATTATATTGAAAAAATTATGATGTGAAGGAGTGTCTCCATACCGAGCGACCAATCTTACTTACATTAAAAAATGTTAAACAAATTTAAATTTATCGTTTTCTTTCGCACAGTCAGCAGCTGTGCAAATTTCGTGGAACATAAGAAATTTGCACATGAAAAAAGATTTCAATCCCCACAGGTCTCCACAGGACTTTTTTGTACACCAATATGGCCGCCGTGACGTCATGTGAAATCTTTCTCTATACGCCGAATTCAGATTGTATTATAAAAAAAAAAACAGTTAGATGTTTAGAAACAATCAAGCAGTGTTTGATCAAACATACTGAAAATTGTTAAGAAAGAGTGCATTCAATTTCACGGAAGATGAATATTGTTCTCTATGTAAGTTTCAATTCAAAATAATGTGTTATACACAGCAGTTGAAATTTGTGCTTAAAGTTATCAGATTTCTAAATTGAGGGGAAGAATAAGTGTAGGAGTGACATAATCTTGATTTTTCGTCAGATAATGAAGCAGGTGAGTTTAAAAAAGTCGGTCAAGGCGAGCTGTAAGTCATTACATAATGACAGTCATCACTCCGAATGGGAGACTTCGGGAGGAAAAAAGAAATGTTCCCGATAGAGGAACTAGATTTAATAGTGGTTATTAAATCCTAAAGCAATTATTTCACTAAATATTGTGTAATTTCTGTACAACATACGAGTTTGTCGGTCTGTTTACAGAAATAACAGGCTCTTTATTTATATCATTGCAACTATCGTCACTCCTCTGGGTATTGGACTTCTAATAACAGGGAGCTGGCCTTTTTGCGTCATTTTGCAAATAGCCTATTATAAACATTAGGGTCTCTTTAAATTGTACCTCCTAAATTTCAGGACGCTGTTAATGTACAATTACCCCTAAAAGGATGTATACAACCTCTATGTTCACGACACTTTACGCTACTTGTCTTTCCTATAACTCAGAGGTGCCATATTTTCACCCTCTTTTAACATTAAAGTTCCAATTTTAATTTAGAACAGAATCTTCGTGAAAAACACCTCTTGCTGTGATCCTATCCTTCGGATTAATTAAATTTGTTAAAAGTAGACGGTTAACAGATCTTATGAAGTATGAAGTCTTAACTTTGCAGTGGCGCCTAAGCTTTCTCCCCTAGGCTCCATCGTCTCTTTTGCAAATGAGACGACCACGTCAAAATAAAGATTCATTAGCATTAAAAAATTTAGATGTTTATGAAAAACCAAGCAGTGTCTTATTAAACCAGAATCTTATAACCCCGAAGGGGTGATATGCTTCCAAATAATCATAAAAAAACCGAACCGAAATACATTCTCTGTTAAGTAAGTCGATCATCGACTTGCTATTAAAATAATCCGTATAAGAGTCTGCTACTTTAGAAAAAGACAAAATGAGAAAAAAAGAAAAGAAAAGAAACCTGGAAAAGATGGGGTGAGAGTGCGCTAAGTAGAATAAACTTGTCTAATACATGATATGATGAAGCAGCTGTGTTAACAAAAGTCATGGTGAAGAAATAAATTATTCTTCTTATGGTTATTTTATTAATGAGAGTTGTCACTCCTGTTGTCACTCTAAATGGGAAAACAACGTGATGTTAATCTTCCTTTGGGAAATCACCTGTAACTGTGGCACTTGAAAGCTTTTCACCATTTGCATTGGGCTTACCAATAGATCATTTTGTCACCATCTCTTTCGATAGCAGTTTAAACTGTGGTCATTGAGAACGTTTACAAAGACCAAGTTCGACAATGGTGGGCGCTCTCGAATCGCGCAGTACAGCCTTAAAAGTTGTAGAAGCTGGAGCAATGATTGCATTAAATATTGCGTGGCTTTTGGGCAACATCCTAGTTTGTTTGTCGGTTTACAGAAATAACAGGCTCCGCACCACAACAAATCTGTATATCATTGCATTGGCTGTAAGTGACTTGATAGCTGCAACTCTCGTCATGCCTCCAGCTACTGGAGTTCTTATCACAGGTAGATGGCCTTTTGGTGAAACGGCTTGTCAAATACACGCTTATCTCAGTCTTTTTGCAGTGTATGTTTCGCCTGTAACCATGGGTCTTACTGCAGTTAATAGATACACAAAAATATGCAAATCAGATCAGCAATATAATCTATTCTTTTCGAAGAAAAAATCTCGTATTTTTCTTGGATCTGCCTGGACATTTGTAGCTCTCTACATTTTAATACCACGTGTAACTGGTCTGCAAGATTTTCATTTTGTGCCAAGCTACGCAGCTTGCTTAAACAGGCACTTGAGTAATTTTGGGAAAATGGTTCACTACTTTGTCGTTCTCGGCTTGTTTTTCGTCCTTCCCCTAGCGGTGACAATATTCAGCTACAGAAAAGTTTTGAAAAAGATTCAGGAACACAATACTGGAACAGCGCAAAGTCTTCGAATAAACAACAACGAGACAGTCACGTCAAATGAGATTCGACTAAGTAAGTCTCTGTTTGTTGTCGTCTTTGCGTTCATGTTGTGTTGGGTACCCGCTTGGTTTATCACCATCCTGACAAGATTGGGTTTTTTTCAATAAAATGCCTCGCAATGTTCAGTTACTGTGCACATTTTTCTTAAATATTTCGAACGCCATCAATCCCTTTATTTATGCAGGAATGAACCCGGTATTTAGAAGAGAGTTCCGAAAACTACTCGGATGTAAATTTGGAGTGAGAGTCGAGAGTAGTTTAAGTCAACAATCATCAAGTAGAAGACCAGCCACTTCATGGATAAGCAGTAACCAAAACAAAACTGGAGATGAGGAGATGGAAAGCCTTGAGAGTCAAGCAATTAAGGATGAGAATACTGAGACAAACTGACAGTGAGCGTAGCCGAAAATCTCATCTCTATATATTGAGTTTATTCAGCTTATGGTAGCCTAAACAGCACGGCAACTTTGCTAGTAGACGCCATTTTCCTATAAACCATAATCTGTTTCTGTGAAACAGAGAAATTATTTTATATATGATACGTTCGTCCGCTACAGGAGATCCGCTTTTACCGGCTATGCTATGACACCAAGTCAGTTAAAAAAATAAATACAACGACCGAAAGAAGATGAATATGTTTGATAGAATCAATTATGAGTCGATATATACGTCTAGATTGAGTTAAAAGTTCCAAAATGAAATGCTTCTTTACCCGTATCGTCTTCGGCTAGTAAGTTGTTTTCCTCCCGTTAACTTTGAAAATATTCAGCTAGATCTATGACCTATCTGATCTTTCCTTAGATATTTTGTTTGAATAATAAAATTTACTTTTTCTTTACTTGTGCTTTTGCTTATAAGAGCATATGTTTAAGAGAGAAATTGCACAAAATCACACCTTTCGCTTATTTACAACTGAACAACAAACAAACTAATGAATTAAGCCGTTACCTTGATCGCGCCAAGATCAGATCGCAGGATTAGTTACCCGGTGCCCTCCGCGTAAAAATTATTCCCTTTATTAGAGTCAGGATTAATGAACCTTGGTACACACCTAGGCTAAATTCACAGAATTACCCCAAGAATACATTCATTCAGGTTGTTACTTGACAGCACTAATGAAGGCCAACCATCCGAGTCCTTATAAAAAGAGACGACCACATCAAATTTAAGTTCTCTTGGCAGTAACTGATTTTGATGTATAGAAACAATCAAGTAGTGTCTAAATAACATACTGGGAATAATATAAAGGCTGGCCTTAATTTCATCGAACTGAAATAATCTCGGCTAAGTTGGTCGATTATTGCGTTCGACGTCAGTCTAAACTCAACGCGCGAGAAGTCAGGGCACGAGCATTTAAATTTGGATATCGTTCTTAGGAATTCAACTCCAGGGGAGTTCGCCTTCATTTGACAAAGTAGTTGAGTTGGGATAATCGCGACTAAGATTGAAAGAACGCGAATTCACTTTTTGGCGACGTTTTTACTGCCGTCGACGTACTCGGATCTTTTCCCAGCACCCATCGTTTCTTTAGGTCGGATGGAGAAAAGCACGTTTAGAAATGCTAAAGGGGATATCGAGAAGCCGACAATTCGGATATTTTAAAGTTCAAAACGACAACGAGCTGGACTTACCGTTAGTTTGCAGAACTAAGGCACGTAATCGGCTAGCGATCGAAAAATTGCGAATTCAATTTGGCGGGGTGCATATTGGAGAGCAACTGTGGGAAAGCTCTCAGCATCGTTCATAAATACCTGTCCTGTTAAAAGAGAAATATCATTACACAGAGTAATAGACCAGATCACCACCCGTCTGTGCAGCCGTAAGAGCTGTTTAAAATTCCAAAAATGAGCTGCCTTGTGTTCAGTATTAAAGATACTGCTGATACTTCGATCTTGATAAAAAGAGAACGTGCCTCTGACAAACAAGGCTGGATGTTGTGGCGTTTACCTGTGGCTATCCCTGAGAAGTATCGTTTTTGTCTTTTGGATTACTTGTTCGAAGAGCATCATGGGATCTGCCACATGAATTCTTTGACGAGGGGTTATTTCTGGTGGCCAGGATTGGATGCCGCTATTGTTGAGAGGGTTCAGCTATATCAGGTTTGTGCTGCCTTGAGTAAGTACCCTCCAAGGGCACCAATATCTACCCTTCGAAATGGCCTGCTAAGCAAAGGGAGTGTATGCGCACTGATTTCTTTGAGAAGGGCAAGTTGAATTTCTTGATTGTTGTTGATGCTTATTCTAAGTGATTGGAGGTAGCTGGAGGTAATCCCCATGAGTTCTATGACCAGCTTGAAAACCATTAAGGTTTTGCGCACTTTGTTTGCACTCTACTTAATACCGGAGGAGATGGTTTCGGACAACGGGCCTAGCTAGCATCTGAAGAATTCACTCAATTAATGAAGCAAAATGTATTCAGGTCCTCCCGGGTTCCACTGTACCATCGCGCATCCAATGGAGCTGCTGGACGTTCTGTACAGACTTCAAAGGCGGTTTTGACCAAGCAAGTGCTGAACGGCAAAGCGAATACCCTCAGTCTAAAACATAGGCTAGTAGCCAATTTTCTTATTCTGAATAGCAGCACCTCTCAAATTGTCACAGGGCAATCTCCCACTGAACTGTGTTTGGAACGACAGATTAGGAACTGAAACCCAACCTCAACAGAGCAGTAGAGGAGCAACAGTTGAAGCAGAAAGAGCACCTGGATGAAGGACAAGAAAAGTTCGGAGGGTTCAAGTTGAACGAAGTGTTTTTGGTACCCGTGTTGAGAAAGAAGAACACCACGCAGACTCATATGTTACATGTGGACATTCTTTAAGTAGATGACGAACACTAAACAATGCTTATCTGTTAGATTTGACTTGTATTAGTTGTTGTTGCCATGCTAACCAACTCATTTGTTCGAGAGGAGTGTAGTACATTAGGTTCCAGACTTCTTGTATTTAAAGCAGGTTTCCCTCATGCGCGGTTGCATCAAAGCATGACTAGCACATGGGTCATTTCGTGTTATAGTTTTAGACATGAATTTCTCAAACTCGTTAATAATTCGTAGAGTACATACAAAGGAAATTAATGTTTAATAAGTGTTGAGTGTTCGGAAATCAGATGAAGAAGTTCTCATTTATGCATCCTTAATTTCTCCTCCTAAAATAATTTTGTTTGAGAATTAATATCAACCATCCTACACAGTGTTTCATCACCAGATGAAAAACCTCGGAGTTCGTCAAAAATACAGTTAACTCCCGCCTTGCGGACACCCCGTTATTACGGACGCTCGCTCTTACGGGAAAAATCTAGATCCCCGACAAAAGCTTTAGCGGTTTGACTGGAGACTCCCGCTATTACGCAGTTACGGACAGTTTCTTAGTACCAAAGTTACAATTTTTTTGTTTTGACTCTGGATAAAGCGAACACACTGTACTTCTTACTTTCTTACTTACGTAAAATTACAGTCTGCCGTTCATCATTTGCCAAAATACATTTCAAAAGATTTCCGGAATGTTTATTTTCACATCAATTCCTTAAATTGTCTTTACAATCGTCCTCACTTCTTCACTTGAGCTTACGCTTTTTTCTGCCCGGTCCTTTAGGAGAGATCAAGCCTTCGTATTCCACTCTCAACGACTGCAGCTTAGCAGTTTGGGTACTAATGATAAGTTAGTCCAGTCTTGCAGTATATTTTGGGTCGCAATTCAGTATAAGTAGCAAATTTATCTCACATTAGAGAGCTCTAGAATTGAGGACGAGGACAACTACGAGTACGAGATTTAACTTAAATTGTTTTCGCGTATTCTCGAAAAATATTCAACCCGGAAAGCTTTATTTTACTATTTTTCACCTGAAAAATTTGTGTGGTTATTTTTACTGGAGAAGGTTTAGCCCTTTCCCGGTCGCAAAATGATTAAACTTCAAAAATTTGATAACTTGTTCCCGCCATTACGACACTCTTCGCCAAAACTCGCAGTAAAATGACCACGGGTACCACGTTTTCCCACGAAAGACGTTCGTTCGCGCGCGCGCACAACTTAGTATTGAGAAAATCTCGTTCTCGTAGTGGTGCTCGTCTCAGAATCTAACGGACTCTCGCTATTACGGACATAAAACCGCGGTCTCGAGGGTGTCCGCAATAACGGAAGTTGACTGTACTCCGCTGCGCGTCGTATTTTCAAATCTCTTCTCAGAGCGCTAGTAAAATATTCGTGACTAATACTATTAAAATCCAGCTAATGGTCTATTATCAATACTGCGTTTTGATTGGTTGAGCTACTACTAGGCTATAGGTTATAACCCACTAGTAGCGCAAAGCGCCGGCTTTTTGGCGGCAAAAAAGGCCTAAAGTCTAGCTTTAACTAGCTAAAGTTGTTTTGTCTCGATATTTTTAACCACGTAGCTGGATTTTACTACAACAATTATTCCTCTCGCACTCATGGCCTCTGAGCCAATAGCCCATTTAGCCTTCGGTCTCAAGGGCTATTGACTCAGAACCCTTTCGGACTCGAGGAATAATTGTTAAATATTACGTAGCAGGTGTGTTTAGAAAAGTCATGGTGAGCAATAAATCATTCTTCTAATGTTATTTTGTCACTTCTTATGGAAAAAAAATTGATGTTGCTTCGATTAGGAAATCACCGCTTTAATAAGACAAATGCACGATGGCGTCATTTTACTAAATTACCAGAATCCTTCAGTCTGTCCTTTTGTTGTGGAAATTAGGGCTACTGTTTTTTAAACCTCACTGGGCTTGAAAAAATTTAAATAAGAAAGCACAAAGGAAATGAAGTCTGGTAGTTGTAGTAATGCCATCTTGGAATTGGCCTATTGTGCTATTGAAAGCTTTTCACTTTTTATGTTAGGCTTACTAACGGGTAAAATTCATCGCTAACTCTTGCGACAACAGTTAAAAAGTCAGAGCAGTTCAAAAAAGGTTAACAAAGATCCAATTCAAGAATGGTGGGAATCCTCGAATCGGGAAGTACAGCCTCAAAAGTTATAGAAGCTGGAGCAATGATTGCGTTAAATATTTTGTCACTTTTGGGCAACATTCTAGTTTGTTTGTCGGTTTACAGAAATAGCAGTCTCCGTACCACAAAGAATCTTTACATCATTGCCTTGGCTGTAACTGACTTGATAGCCGCAACTCTCGTTATGCCTCCCGCGACTGGAGTTCTTATCACAGGAAAGTGGCCTTTTGGGGAAACGGTTTGTCAAATACACGCTTATTTCAGTCTTTTTGTTGTGTATGTTTCACCTGTGACCATGGGTCTTACTGCACTTAACAGATACATAAGAATATGCAAATCAAATCAACAATATAATCTGTACTTTTCCAAGAAAAAATCTCGTATTCTCCTTGGATCTGCCTGGACATTTGTAGCCCTCTTCATTTTAATTCCTCGCCTTACTGGTCTACAAGATTTTCATTTTGTGCCGAACTATGCAGCTTGCTTAAACAGGCACTTGAGTAATTTTGGAAAAATACTTCACTACATTGTCGTTCTAGTCTTTTTTTTTTGTCCTTCCGCTAGTTGTGACAACATTCAGCTACAGAAAAGTTTTGAAAAAGATTCGGGAATACAATAGTGGAACTGTGCAAAGTCTTCGAGCAAACAACAACGAGACAGTCACCTCAAACGAGATTCGACTAAGCAAGTCCCTTTTTGTTGTCGTCTTTGCCTTTATGTTGTGTTGGGTACCCGCTTGGGTCATCACCATCCTGACCAGATTGTATTTTGGCAATAAAATGCCTCGCAATGTTCAGTTACTTTGTACATTTTTCTTAAATATTTCGAACGCCATCAATCCCTTTATTTATGCAGGAATGAATCCTGTATTTAGAAGAGAGTTTCGAAAATTACTCGGATGTAAATTTGGAGTGAGAGTCGAGAATAGTTTTTTAAGTCAACAATCACCAAGTAGAAGACCAGCCACTTGATGGATAAGCAGTAACCACAACAAAACTGAAAAAACTGGGGATGAGGAGATGGAAGGCCTCGAGTGTCAAGCAATTAAAGATGAGAAAACTGAGAAAAACTGACTGTGAGCGTAGCCGCTAATCTAATCTTTAAATATTGAGATTCAGAATGAGCTTATGCTGGCCTAGACAGTCAACCCGACAGGTTTGCAAATAGACGCTGTTTACCTATAAACCGTAATTTTGTTTCTGTGAAATATTTTCTGCACGCGAAAATTCATATTACTCGCCTCTAAATTTTACGAATTTTGAGGCAATAGTTAAATCAGTCCGTTTAAGTTGGATCGGTAGATTTCTAAACTGTCCATCAAATGAGACAAGAGTGCATCCCTAACTCCTTTTACGAGAGATACGGTGGTCTTTGTTTCCTATTAAAGTGTAATTGTAATTCAAAGAACCTACACAAAGAAATATCGCTCTTTTATTTGGAAATGCTTGATTACTTTAAGGTATTGCGTCTGAGCAGGATACTTATCAAGCTGATCTAATTCTCTGGAACAATGAAAACATAACAATTGAAGGTAAATCGCTATTTAGGGAAAAAATGGGTCAAAAAGAGAATTTATTATATTCAAGACATTTTAAATGAAAATAGAAAATTTCTTACTTACGAAGAATTTAAATGTAGATATAGTTTACAAGTGAACTCGTTGCACTACTTTCAAATCCTTGCGTCAATTCCAGTGGGTCTTAAGACCAAAGCGTCTTCTGAACCAAGGCCTGCGGAATCGAGCCTTGAAGATGATGCTTAGGCGTGAAAACTGCAAGGGTTTACCTCTATAAATATTCATTCTTTATTCGCATAGTGAAAGAATGGAATAATTTACCGCAGTATGTAGTTGAAGCAGAATCTTTTAAACTGTTTAAAGCGAGGTTAAAGTCTTTTTTGAATATGTGAATATGTAAATAGTGATAGGTAATAATTTAACGTATTTTTTATTCCTTTTTAGGAACGTTATAGGGTTGACCTCGAGTTTCCTTTTCATGATGTATTTTATTTATTTTGTTATCTTTAAACGTAATGAATAAACCAGCATTGTTTGTTTGTGTGTTATGTTTCACCTCTTTAATGACAAGTCAATCTTGCTTTCAAAAATGCGATTTATTAAAGGATTATTATCTTCTTTTTTTATGAAAAAACAGAAATAACGCCTACAGCCCTGAACACGTGGTCCAAGCCAGAATCCCACAACCCTGGGCTCCTGTCCAAGCATAACATTGATTTCAAGAGTATATGGAAAGATCTGTTTAAAAATATACCACGGCTATCTATTGACAACAAATTGAGACAAGTTTCTTTTAAAATACGATATTGTATATTAGTAACTAAAAAGAGCTACAAAGATTTAAAACTTCGGATAAGGAAGAGTACATCTACTGCAGATCACGTGATTCCATAGAACACGTTCTTCAGGAGTGCTCTATCTGTTGGCCTCTCTCTATGGCAAGAAATGAGAGGATGGTTTCACGATAAACACAAGGTGAACCTCAACTCATCCAGCTCGCAGTTACTCGTCAAAGATTAGAAACCTCTATTAAATGTATTGGTCAATGTAAAACGTAAGTTTTGGATCTTAATTTTGCAAACTCAGAAATATTATTGCTAATGCAAAATGTTAGAAAAAGCTCCCAGTTCCTCTGATCTAATTTTTATGATGTCATTACTTTAGAACTCTATTATAGTAGCCTCCCACGCAGACGTTCTAAGGGGTTCGTCACGTGTTCCCGCCCCACTAGTGGGGCAGGAACCCGTGACGAACCCGTATAAGAACGTTGCGCTAGAGGCTACTATTACAGTGGTCCTAAGAGAAATAAAAAACAATGCTTATGCAAAATTTGGGGAGGCAAACAAGGTGTCTTATGGGACAATAGCCCCTTTAACTTCAATCTTTGAAACATGAGCAGCACAGTTTCCTTAGCAACCAAACGTCTGTGGCCCACGATGAGAGGAATCCGATAATCACGTGATCAAGCAGGCCAAATGCTAGAAACTTCCAAGTAGACGCTTTACCCGTCGTTACAATGTCCGAGATCGAGTATAACAATTTACTTTTTGAAATAAGCGAGAGGCTAGACCAACAAAATGTACTGGAGCGGTTGCTTTTTATGTGTAGAAGGAAGTTATTGCCTGTATCTGAGAGGCAAGACAGCATCCAAGATACGTTGTCGCTGTTTAAAGAACTCGAAGATCGCAATTGTTTGGGAGTTGATCGTGTTCAGGTTCTGAAAGACTTGCTCAAAGGTGTACGACAGTGGTCCCTTTTCGGGAAAGTTAAAAAATTCGAGAGCACAAGAACAGAATACAATGGCTTGATAGAGCAGATTATTCTCGTACTCGACGAACTCAATGATATGGAACGACTGATTGCAATTTGCAGAATGGCTATTGCGGAAGCGAATGACAGCAACATTCAAGACGTTCGATCGTTGTTTAAAGAACTGGAAAACAACGAATGCTTAGGGATTGACTGCCTGGGATTGTTGAAAGAGATTTTGACCAAAACAGAACAAGGCGATTTGTTAAGAGATGTTGAGGAGTTTGAAGCGAGACGAAATCGGGAGGATGAGTTTGAAAGTCGAAAAGGTATTGGTTTCACTTGTTGTTATTCAGTTCCCTGACCTTATCGTAAGGGTGAATTTGAATATTCTAATCTGTTATCATGTTTGTTATATTTCAGCGCAAGTAGCTGATTTCATGTCGTCTGTCGGCAACAGACTGATAGGAGGTAAGTCAACTGTTGCAGTAGAGAATTTCATTGCAATTGGTCGCCCAACCGTGTTACTTGTCTCTTGGCGTTACCGATTTTCCACTTGTTATGAGTCTCGCTTGTCGGTGTTAGTGTGGGGGGAATTTGAACACATAAATGACATAACGTCGTCAGAAACGCCTTCAGTTGTCGAACAAAATCTTTATAAATACAGGAAATAATTCGCATTCAATATAACAAAACTGAGAAGCACTGTTAGCGTATTTACTACGAACAAAAGTCTCGTGCAAAGCGGCGGAAATCGCTGCTACAAGGTCACTGACGGCTCAGAGTTTCTTCGTGAGTCATGCAACATACAAAGCGTTCTTTAAAAAAATCCCACCTATTGAGATTACTACATCATGACAAATTCACTGACATGCATCATCGCTCACCGTATTAAGAGCGACTCCGCGTAAATATCAACTAGACGTGGAAATAGTCAAAAAATGACCTGGCCTCAAGCTCAGCCAGAATAAAGCCCTATGGGCCCTAGTTACAAAATCGTTGGTTTAAGTACCATCGAGTGAATAATATTTTTTTAACGAATTTTTTTCTTCCCGAGGCCTAAAATGGGCAAAAATCATGCGAAATTAGAGTCATATTCAGTAACTCGTACATTTTAAAATAAAGTTGGCTACTAAAATATAATGACACTTCACAGTTTTACTATCTTTCTTCTATAATTTTAACTGATTAGTTCGCGATTTGGCTAACAAGAGATTTTTTAAGAAATTTTCAAAGTTGTTGATTCAAAATCGCTTAATCAACCATCAAAATTTGGGTGTCTAGAAAACGACGACCTAGAAAACGAAGACCTACGACCTAGAAAACGACGACCTAGAAAACAACGACCTAGAAAACGACGACCTAGAAAACGACGACCTAGAAAACGACGACCTAGAAAACTACGATCTAGAAAACGACGACCTAGAAAACGACGACCTAGAAAACGAAGACCTACGACCTAGAAAACGACGACCTAGAAAACAACGACCTAGAAAACGACGACCTAGAAAACGACGACCTAGAAAACGACGACCTAGAAAACTACGATCTAGAAAACGACGACCTAGAAAACGACGACCTAGAAAACGACGACCTAGGAAACAACGACCTAGAAAACGAAGACCTAAAAAAAAACCGCGGGTGGCGGGGGCTTAGTAGAAGTGTGCGAAATGCCCCATCCCCGGACAAAACCAAAATAGCATATTCATAGCAAATCTCAGTGTAATCTTATCAAACGTGCCAAACACTCACGCAAATCGCTCATAGCCGCCAGTCACCCGGGGCTGGTTATAAGTAATGCTAAGGTCAATAGGTCTAATTTGCACGTGCAGCACACTTTTTTGCACATCGTAGTACGTGCAGACGATTCTCTCAAAACCAAAATTTCTTGGATGCATTTTGGGCGCTTTTCATTCACCCAAAACTTAAGAAACTTTGGAAACAGCGGCAATTGGTACAGCATTTTCCCGGAAAAGTTCCCAGACTTCCGGAAACGTTTCCGAAATGCGAACCATTCAACCAGTTAGACATTCGGGAGTAAATTTGAATGCGGAAAGAAACTCTTCCCGATGATAATTTTCGAAAATTTGGGTGTATATTGCGAAAATGCTGTTCCATTCGGTACTACATGGAAGTTGCCGAAAATTTAAACCAGACGTTTTGACTGAATGGAATGGCGCCCATGCAAAGGTAACCAAATTTGTTACCAATTGTGCTCCCTTTGCGCGCGCGTGAGAGCTCCACTGAAAAAGTTTCTCAAGTCAAATTTTCCTTTAGTATGGTCAATGAAGTCATGATTCAACCTGACTGACTACTGGAAGCAAAAGCTTTGCTTTGACCTATTTATTATCCTGATATCAATTTAAACAAATTTCCATCCAATCTAAATGACCTAAATAATATACACTGCTTCACTGGCGCGTCGTTTATAGCGGGAAGTTCAAGCCCACATAAATCAAACAGGAAATAAATCAGGCGTGCCGTTTTTGTGTTCACAGCTCAATACCGTAAACAAACAGTTTATATTTTGAAAATAAAGAAAGAAGGGCTTCAACATTTTCTCGTACCTTTCCATACATGAAACGGCAGCATACCGGTAACGAGAATTGTGAAATATTATGTGGGACACAAGGAAGGTTGACATGTCATCAGATTTGAACTGTATTTGAACTGTAAGATTTGGATCGTATCATCCTAGGAGTTTCTGTTTCCTCACAGGTCCGATAGCGTGGTATATATGCAGTGAGATCTCCGGTAGAACTTTTGAATTGTTCAGAAATAAATTATTACATCATGTGAAATAGAGAAAACGCCGCAGAGCAAAATTAAAAATTTCACTTCGGTTCATCTTTAATTCTTCCATCACTTTCACGCAATGCACAATGCAATGTCCAAGACAAAATAATAGCTCCTACGAAGACACTAGGCACTCTGTAACTGCTGTTTAAAAATGCGAGAGACGGTTTTATAAACCGCGTTATGAAAACAACGCAAGAACAATAGGTGTAGGTATCTCGCCCGGCACATGTAACGAAGGTTTACGTTAATCAATAAATCAATCGAGCATCGCCGCCTAAACGTGAAAATTTCCCAAATTTTGACTTTTAGAAATACTTCGTTCCCCAAACCTCTTTTTATTAACACACTCCGGGATCGCTTATGAAACTAACCCGATATACTTTTAATCATAAACACTTTATTGTCCACCTTCCCAGCCAGTTCTAGATGGGGAGGGTGTTTCCTTAGGAACTGGTTAGCTCCAATGACCACCAAGCTTTAATAATTATTCGATCTAAAAGAAATACGTTTATAATTCGCAATCAGAACAAACACAAATCGTCTTAATCTCGTAGCTAAATTCAGAAAACTTCAATGTTAACTTACTTCCGTGGCGGGTCGTTACAACAATCGCACTTTACAGGTTAGCAAATTCTTTTAACAGATTCTTCAGGTTTGTGGATTTATAGACAGACTGTAAATTATTTTCTTTCTAACTTCGATTCTACTGAAAAACTGGTTTGAAACACAATAAGCTAATTCAATTCTTGTCATCAAATAAATCTATCCAATAACAAACAGGCAACGCTTCTTTAGTAAACGAAACAGAGGGGAGACCTCGCGTACCTTGCATTTCCATTTCCACCGTTTTATTCCTTGGCTTCATACCCTTAGCCGGTACAAATAATATTTACTATTTTTCTGTAATTTTCCTTCTTCGCCCACCTCTCACCCCTTCATAATTCCCTCCTATCGTCCTCTTATTTCCCGCCTTCTGTACCCCTCTAACCCCTTAAATCCTTCGAGCTACCCCATCCCTGTCGTCGTTTTCTAGGTCGTAGTTTTCTAGGTCGTTGTTTTCTAGGTCGTCGTTTTCTAGGTCGTTGTTTTCTAGGTCGTTGTTTTCTAGGTCGTCGTTTTCTAGGTCGTTGTTTTCTAGGTCGTCGTTTTCTAGGTCGTTGTTTTCTAGGTCGTCGTTTTCTAGGTCGTAAGTCTTCGTTTTCTAGGTCGTCGTTTTCTAGACACCCATCAAAATTTAGCACTTTTTCACGAGCTAAAAAAGCGGATTGGTACAAGGCTTTGAACACCAAGACTTGTTTAGTCTGAAAGAGCACTCTTTTTTCTTCAAATTAGCGAAATAAAATTTTTGGGTAAATGAAATCACGAGCGCTGACAAAGCGAAGCAAATGTAAATGTTATACTAAAAACGGGCGAAAAAACGTGACCTCTGACCGAAGCACAACCAAATGCGAATTACGGTAGGCGCCAAACCTTTAATTATTCGGTAACTTCTCGAAACAATATTGGTCCGAAACGTGTATAGATTCTTTTAAATAAAGCTGAGTTAAAGTATTAATTGTCAAAAAGTCCACAAAGCGGTAAAAAATACAACAAAAGTCACGAGTATTAAATCTGTTCCCTTTTCTGAGTTTTATGCAGCGATTTATGCGATTTAACGAATTAACAATTTTTAATCCAACGATACCCACCTGAGACTGTGTTAGTTTAAGAGTCCATAGAACTTCTCAATAGATTTCTCGGAAAGACCTCCAGGAAGAAATGAATGAAGAATTTGAACTTATAACTGTAAAAATTTCACTCGCCGCCACGGGAAAACGATAACAACTGTCGAACTGCCACAGGCAAACCAGCTTTCAGTGCGGTCATGCAAAGCATGTCACGTCACGTAATTCGGCCCCGCGCATTTGGAAAGGAGGGAAGAAATTCTTCCATGCTGTGCGCTAAAACATTTATGACATAAAACTAGCTTTGGACTGTATCTTTTGTAACTAATTAAAGAAAAGAATAACTTTTCCCCTGTTTTTGCTCGAGGAACGCAGTGCACTTCTTTTACTTTATCTGCTGTTTATAATTATTGTGTTTCAAGTTCAGAACGTGCATCTGTAGTTAGCAATTGGTGTGTTCGAATTTATACCGAATGCTGTTGAAAGGATATCAAAGGGCACCAAAGCAGTGGCGGATCCAGGGGGAGGGTCCGGGAGATCCGAGGCCCCACCTCATCAGACCTGATACTTGTTTCAGACTAAAATCCTTATAACGATAGGATTGTATATCACTGTTTAACTGGCTGAATTTTTTAATGAAACGCATGTTGTATTTTGCCACCAAACTAAATTCCAGGGATATTCAAAAATGTGATTGTCTTTGGGTACCCTTCGTAGTCTGTGTATTTCCCGGGCCAACGGCAACTGGCTTTCACAGATTGAGAAACACGTAGTTGTCTCTGGCCTTCTCAGTGACTACTGGGAGGGGGTGCGAGGAAACGTTATTTGCATTCAACAGTCCTTTCTGAACCAAAATTTGGACCTCCCCCCACCCCAATAAAAAAATATTGGATCTCCCCCTGCAAAGATGTTACTCTGATTTCGGAGCCAATCAAGGCTTATGCTGGCGTGTGCAAGTAAAGCAATTTTTTTCGAGTTATATTAGAGGCTCACTTGTAGGACGAAAAACAGTATAATTTTATTTCTGTAATATGAAAATTGTGCTGATCATGTGTATCCTAGAGGAACAAGAGACATTTTGTTGCGAGCCGTTTCTAATCATTCGGTTTCCTGTGGCTCGGTGGTTCCCTGTGTTGAAACATCCCCACTAAAAGCCAACAACAGGGAATGAGCTCTTCGGAAGCCAATGAACTAGTGGCCACATCCGGATCTCAAAAAAAGATTTGGATAAGTTGAAAGGACAAATCGAAGGAACTTATCGACGAAAAGAGAAAAGAAAGCCAGTACAAACAAACTTAAGAATATACATGATATCATTCTTCCCTGTATTAGTCGGTTTGCAACACAAACCTTTGTCGGGGCTGATACTGTGGGGTCGTTACCAAAATTGAACTTAAAACTAAAGTACATAATTATAAACATCATTGGTCATTACAAAGGTAGTCTAATAAACCTGAACTGGCGCAAGTAAGGAACCAAAAGTAACGACCTGACCCTGGTTGATCAAACAACCGATCATTTTTCCAAGTACCGTGTGGAACGAAATTTTTGCGGGAGTTTATTTTTGCGGATTGGCGATTTTTTGTGTTTTGCGGGAACTAATTTTTGCGATTAGGACAGACTGGTTTTTCTTGGTGGGGATTAATTTTTGTGATTTCAGAAAGTACCCAGTACCCAGCATTGATAATATTTTCGTTTTTATTGACTACGTGCAAAAGAAATACATATTTTCAAACAATACTAAGGGTGCGTCAGTATTTGTTTCTGAAAAAAAGAGACCAGTTGTAATTGAGCAGACACGATTTCTTGGTACTGTATTCTTGTGTAGTGAATTTACGTTAGGGAATACAGTATTTCCTCTGGAGTAAATTTTTGCGGGAAATATTTTTGCGGTAATTTTTATTTGCAGGAACTTATTTTTGCAAAGTACTGACAGTCATGAAATCCTATCAATAAAATTCAGCCGTGAGTGAAATAGTGAAAATGACAAGAAGACTGAGGGGAAAAATAATAACAGATCAGTCCACTGTGTTTAATTTTGTTTCGCCTGACATTTTATGTAAGCGAACGGGAATGACATATTTATTTGTTCTGGAGCGATGAATTTTTTTAAAAGCACGTTTCATAGCAAAAATTTGCCAAAACTTTAACTGAGAGCCATTGCTAGATTCTATGGTATTTTTTCTCGTTCCTTTTTAGCTCATGGATGACGTAGTCATGCCATGGGCTTTTGGAGGCACTCGAATGGCACTCGATCACTCACTCACTCACTCACTCACTCACTCACTCACTCACTCACTCGATTCTGATTAATTTATTCATTAAAGTCAGATTAAACACGTTACTCCTACCTCCCCTACTTAGTATTACTTTTGTTCCAGGTACCTTTTACGTATATGTTTGGAATATTCTAGAGGGTACTAGTAAGGCGAATTTTTTTTCCCGACGCATCAATAATAGAGATGGGAATATTCTAAAGCACTGATTATATCGTCCGCAAGAAATGGACTTAGAATTGTTAAAAGGACATTGAAATAATTGAGCGTGGATCATTGTTGTATATTTGGACGAATTGTGCACATTTGTTCCCGATATTATACTTGACATGGAGAAGATGCGATCAACAGGAGTGTGAAATAGCTATTGCAGCCTGACGACTGTGACGATGGGATTTCGTTCAGCGAAAAGCGAATAAGCCAGAGAGCCTTATAATCACTGCAAACAAACGGTCCTCGAATTGTTAAAGCGACATTGAGGAGTATCTATTGTGGTTTATTCAGTTATCTGGACGAATCCGTTTGACCATTTGTCTTCGTATGCAAACAGGGGAATGAATTAATGTTGGGTCAACTAGAAGCACAGGTTTTAGAACCAACAAGCGTTACGCTACTTTGCTTGAATTCTTACGTGATCTTTGCCTTGAAGTAGGCTTTTGTTTGTCGGTGATTCCATTTAGCAGTGCTATTAATGTAATTTCTACAAGAAATGCTGCGCTGGTATAAACAAGTCTCTAGAACATTCAGTTGGAGAAAGGCAATCGGATACTTCGACTGCGTTTAAATTACTTGGCTAGGTCAGAGCACGTACTCGTGTTTATCAAAAGCGCGTTCTAAAGCAGTTCAATTTAGCCATAAATGCCTGTATTCTGTATTTGATATAGCAGGTACTGCATATACCAACCGGTACGTACTCATCATGTGGAAACATTTATTTAAAAGCATCGCACTTTTAAAACCGCGGTTTAAAACTTCTGAAAACTCGTGTATGTAAAACTTGGCTATTTTACAAGAAAGTGCACCGTCGTTCGGAAAGTGTTTGACAGTCACACGAGAAAGCAAATTATTTTACAACTAAAAAGCGTCAATAATTGCTTTTAAAAATGATCTTTGCTTTGTACGTAGAAATGCTGCGCTGATAACAAGTTTCTAGAATATTCAGGTGCACATGCAATCGAATACTTCGAGTCGCGCTGTATTTTGGTAAGTCCGTACACAATGAACCGTTCAAAAAAATTTATATGTTTTTCTTTGATTATTGAACTGTCTTTTCTACACTAATTCAATTCATCCATGAGCTCGCTCCTAGGAGCCTTTGATTTTTTTCTAGTTCTGTTTGGTCACATGAACCGTGATGTCAGCTTTTTAAGTTAAGATAACCATTTAGGACGTTGTGGACATGTCTCATATTATCTCAGTCGTGACAGATGAAACCTTAATACACTTGGGTTCAAATGTTATTACGGATGGACCTTTATTACACTTGGATCCAGTTATTGCACTTGTGCCTTCCACAAGTTCCACAGACAAGAAATCCGGATCCATGAAGCGAATTTGGCCTAAGAGGCAACCAAACATTTAGCCTCCCTTGGTGGCTTTTCAGGGAAGTCATGTTTTCCCATATTTCCTCCCTTACTTAAGACCAAGATATGTGTCATTTATACCAGTCTGTAAATAAAGTGAAGGGAAAATCAGAAAATTTAGGGTAACGTTGTTGAGATCAAAGGTTTGTGGGGAGGGAGAAATTACAAATTCCCGAAAAACGCCTGCTCATCAAGTCCGAGGCGGAAGAGGCGCCTTTGCCCTCAAGCGAGGGCAAAAATGAAACAGTCCAGAGCTAATTTTATTTCATAAATTTTTTTGGCGCACGGCGTGGAATAATTTCTTCCCAAGACCCATTATGGCTCTTGTTTCTTGCCTCCTTCCCAAATGCGCTGGGCAGAATTACGTGACGTGACATGCTTTGCATGACTGCACTGAAAGCTGGTTTGCCTGTGGCAGTTCGACAGTTGTTTTGGTTCATTGCGGTGGCGGCAAGTGAAATTGTTACAGTTATCAGTTCAAATTCTTCATTGATTTCCTTCTGGAGGTCTTTCCGAGGAATCTTCTGGGAAGTTCTATGGACTCTTAAACTAACACAGTCTCAGGTGGGTATCGTTGGATTAAAAATTGTTAATTCGTTAAATCGCTGCATAAAATTCAGAAAACGGAACAGATTACTTGTGACTTTTGTTGTATTTTTTACCGCTTTGTGGACTTTTGACACTTAATACTTTAACTCAGCTGTATTTTAAAGAACCTATACACATTTCAGACCAATATTGTTTCGAGAAGTTACCGAATAATTAAAGTTTGGCGCCTACCGTAATTTGCATTTGGTTGTGCTTCGGTCAGAGGTCACGTTTTTCGCCCGTTTTTAGTATAACATTCACATTTGCTTCGCTTTGTCAGCGCTCGTGATTTCATTTACCCAAAAATTTTATTTCGCTAAGTTGAAGAAAAAAGAATGCCCTTTCAGGCGAAACACGCCTTGGTGTTCAAAGCCATGTGCCAATCCGCTTTTTTAGCTCGTGAAAAAGTGCTAAATTTTGATGGTTGATTAAGCGATTTTGAGTCAACAACTTTGAAAATTTCTTTAAAAATCTCTTGTCGACCAAATCGCGAACTAATCAGTTACAATTATAGAGGAAAGATAGAAAAAATGTGAAGTGTCATTATATTTTAGTAGCCAACTTTATTTTAAAATATACGAGCCACTGAATATGACTCTAATTTCGCATGATTTTTGCCCATTTTAGGCCTCGGGAAGGAAAAAATTCGTTAAAAAAATATTATTCACTCGATCGTACTTAAACCAACGATTTTGTAACTAGGGCCCATAGGGCTTTATTCTGGCCGAGTTTGAGGCCAGGTCATTTTTTGGCTATTTCCACGTCTAGTTGATATTTACGCGGAGTCGCTCTTAATTAATGTATCGGTCAAAGTAATTGACCTCTGTTTGACCTTTTTATTGTTGTATTGAATCGCCGGTATAGGTATTGAAATTCATTATAAACACAACTCAATATATTCATATATTCAAAGCCTGAATCCAATATTAAAAATATTAAAATTTAAATGCCTTCAAATACAGCACAAACCTTGTAACCAATTGGCCAAAAAGGGTAATGGTTCATGATAACCATCACTAATATAGGGACATTCCATGACCACTTTGCCCACCTTGAGAAAGTTGATGTTTGGTAGTTGCTGTAGTTGCTGTACCTGGTGTAGTTAGTGTAGTTGGTGTAGTATATGTAGTTGGTGTAGTTAGTGTAGTTGCTGTAGTATATTTAGTTGGTGTAGTATGTGTAAGACTATGTGTAGTTAATGTAGTATATGTAGTTGGTGTAGTTAGTGTAATTGGTGTAGTTAGTGTAGTTGCTGTAGTATAAGTGGTTGGTGTATTAAGTATAGTTGTTGTAGTTGGTGTAGTTAGTGTAGTTAATTTAGTTGCTGTAGTTGGTGCACTATGTGTAATTGGTGTAGTTTGTGTAGTTGGTGTAGTTATAGTTGGTGTAGTTTGTGTACTTGGTGTAGTTAGTGTAGTTTGTGTAATTTGTGTAGTATGTGTAGTTTTTGTAGTTGGTGAAGTATGTGAAGTCGGTGTAGTTGGTGTAGTTCCTGTAGTTGGTGTGGTAGGTGTAGTTAGTGTATAGTTGGTATAGTACCTGTAGTTTGTGTAGTATGTATAGTTTGTGTAGTTGGTGTAGTATATGTAGTTGGTGTAGTTGCTGTAGTTAGTGTAGATGATGTAGTATGTGTAGTATGCGTAGTTGGTGTAGCTTGTGTAGTTAGTGTGGTTGGTGTAGTATATGTAGTTGGTGTAGTTGCTGTAGTATATGTAGTTGGTCTAGTTGGTGTAGTTGCTGTAGTTACTATAGTTTGTGTTGTTGCTGTAGTTAGTGTACTCCGTGTAGTATGTGTAGTTGTTGTAGTTGGTGTAGTTACTGTAGTTGGTGTGGTAGGTGTAGTTAGTGTACTTGGTGTAGTACATGTAGTTGGTGTAGTATGTGTAGTTGGTGTAGTATATGTAGTTGTTGTAGTTACTGTAGTTGGTGTAGGATATGTAAGTGGCGTCGTTGCTGTAGTTGATGTAGTTAATGTAGTTGGCTTAGTATATGTAGTTGGTGTAGTTTGCTGTAGTTTGTGTAGTTGCTGTAGTTGCTGTAGTTAGTATAGTCGGTGTAGTATCTGTAGTTTTTGTACTTGGTGTAGTTACTGTAGTTGGTGTGCTTGGTGTAGTTACTGTAGTTGGTGTAGTAAGTGTAGTTGCTATAGTATATGTAGTTGGTGTAGTTAGTGTAGTTGTTGTAGTTGTTGTAGTTGTTGTAGTTGGTGTAGTTAAAGTAGTTGCTGTAGTTGCTGTAGTTGCTGTAGTTGGTGTACTATGTGTAGTTGGTCTAGTTGGTGTAGTTAGTGTCGTTGTTGTAGTATATGTAGTTGGTGTAGTTACTGTAGTTAGTGTAGTTGCCGTAGTATATGTAGTTGGTCAGGTATGTGTCGTTGGTGTAGTTAGTTTAGTTAGTGTAGTTTGTGTGGTTGGTGTAGTTAGTGTAGCTGGTGTAGTTACTGTAGTTGCTGTAGCATACGTAGTTGGTGTAGTATGTCTAATTGGTGTAGTTAGTGTAGTTAGTGTGGTATATCTAGTTGGTGTAGTTAATGTAGTTGGTGTAGTTAGTGTAGTTGGCGTAGTTACTGTAGTTGGTGTAGTATATGTAGTTGGTGTAGTATGTGTAGGTGGTGTAGTTAGTGTAGTATATGTAGTTGGTGTAGTTAGTGTAGTTGCTGTAGTTGCTGTAGTATGTGTAGTTGGTCTAGTTGGTGTAGTTAGTGTCGTTGTTGTAGTATATGTAGTTGGTGTAGTTACTGTAGTTAGTGTAGTTGCTGTAGTATATGTAGTTGGTGTAGTATGTGTAGTTGGTGTAGTTAGTTTAGTTAGTGTAGTTTGTGTGGTTGGTCTAGTTAGTGTAGTTGGTGTAGTTAGTGTAGTTGCTGTAGTATATGTAATTGGTGTAGTTAGTGTAGTTGCTGTAGTATGTGTAGTTGGTCTAGTTAGTGTAGTTGGTGTAGTTAGTGTAGTTTGTGTACTATATGTAGTTGGTGTACTATATGTAGTTGGTGTAGTTTGCTGTAGTTTGTGTAGTTGCTGTAGTATATGTAGTTGGTGTAGTATGTGTAGTGGGTGTAGTTAGTTTAGTTAGTGTAGTTTGTGTGGTTGGTCTAGTTAGTGTAGTTGGTGTAGTTAGTGTAGTTGCTGTAGTATATGTAATTGGTGTAGTTAGTGTAGTTGTTGTAGTCGTTGTAGTTTGTGTAGTTGGTGTAGTATGTGTAGGTGGTGTAGTTAGTGTAGTATATGTAGTTGGTGTAGTTAGTGTAGTTGCTGTAGTATGTGTAGTTGGTCTAGTTAGTGTAGTTGGTGTAGTTAGTGTAGTTTGTGTACTATATGTAGTTGGTGTACTATATGTAGTTGGTGTAGTTTGCTGTAGTTTGTGTAGTTGCTGTAGTTAGATAGTCGGTGTAGTATGTGTAGTTTTTGTACTTGGTGTAGTTACTGTAGTTGGTGTGCTTGGTGTAGTAGGTGTAGTACATGTAGTTGGTGTAGTTACTGTAGTTGGTGTAGTAAGTGTAGTTGCTATAGTATATGTAGTTGTTGTAGTTAGTGTAGTTGTTGTAGTTGTTGTAGTTGGTGTAGTTAGAGTAGTTGGCGTAGTTACTGTTGGTGTAGTATATGTAGTTGGTGTACTATGTGTAGGTGGTGTAGTTAGTGTAGTTAGTGTAGTATTTGTAGCTGGTGTAGTTAGTGTAGTTGCCGTAGTTGCTGTAGTTGGTGTACTATGTGTAGTTGGTCTAGTTGGTGTAGTTAGTGTCGTTGTTGTAGTATATGTCGTTGGTGTAGTTACTGTAGTTAGTGTAGTTGCCGTAGTATATGTAGTTGGTCTAGTATGTGTAGTTGGTGTAGTTAGTTTAGTTAGTGTAGTTGGTGTAGTTTGTGTGGTTGGTGTAGTTACTGTAGTTGGTGTAGTTAGTGTAGTTGCTGTAGCATACGTAGTTGGTGTAGTATGTCTAGTTGGTGTAGTTAGTGTAGTTAGTGTAGTATATCCAGTTGGTGTAGTTAATGTAGTTGGTATAGTTAGTGTAGTTGGCGTAGTTACTGTAGTTGGTGTAGTATATGTAGTTGGTGTAGTATGTGTAGGTGGTGTAGTTAGTGTAGTATATGTAGTTGGTGTAGTTAGTGTAGTTGCTGTAGTTGCTGTAGTATGTGTAGTTGGTCTAGTTGGTGTAGTTAGTGTCGTTGTTGTAGTGTATGTAGTTGGTGTAGTTACTGTAGTTAGTGTAGTTGCTGTAGTATATGTAGTTGGTGTTGTATGTGTAGTTGGTGTAGTTAGTTTAGTTAGTGTAGTTCGTGTGGTTGGTGTAGTTAATGTAGTTGGTGTAGTTAGTGTAGTTACTGTAGTATATGTAATTGGTGTAGTTAGTGTAGTTGTTGTAGTCGTTGTAGTTGGTGTAGTTTGTGTAGTTGGTGTAGTATGTGTAGGTGGTGTAGTTAGTGTAGTATATGTAGTTGGTGTAGTTAGTGTAGTTGCTGTAGTTGCTGTAGTATGTGTAGTTGGTCTAGTTAGTGTAGTTTGTGTAGTTAGTGTAGTTTGTGCAGTTGGTGTAGTTAGTGTAGTTGGTGTACTATATGTAGTTTGTGTAGTATGTGTAGTTGGTGTAGTTTGTGTAGTTGGTGTAGTATATGTAGTTGGTGTAGTTGCTGTAGTGGGTGTAGTTGCTGTAGTTGGTGTGGTATGTGTAGTTAGTGTAGTTGGTGTAGTATATGTAGTGGGTGTAGTTGCTGTAGTTGGTGTAGTATGTGTAAGTGGTGTAGTTAGTGTAGTTGGTGTAGTATATGTAGATGGTGTAGTTGCGGTAGTTGCTGTAGTATGTGTAGTTGGTGTAGTTAGTTTAGTTTGTGTAGTTGTCGTAGTTAGTGTAGTTGGCGTACTATATGTAGTTGGTGTAGTATGTGTAGTTTGTGTAGTTGGTGTAGTATATGTAGTTGCTGTAGTTGCTGTAGTTGGTGTAGTATGTGTACTTGCCGTAGTTAGTGTAGTTGGTGTACTATGTGTAGTGAGTGTAGTGAGTGTAGTTGGTGTAATATGTGTAGTTGGTGTAGTTAGTGTAGTTGGTATAGTATATGTAGTTGGTGTAGTTAGTGTAGTTGGTGTACTATGTCTAGTTGATGCAGTTTGTGTAATTGGTGTAGTTAGTGTAGTTGGTATAGTTACTGTAGTTGGTGTAGTATACGCAGTTGGTGTAGGTAGTGTACTTGGTGTAGTTAGTGTAGTTGCTGTAGTATATGTAGTTTGTGTAGTTGGTGTAGTTAGTGTAGTTGGCGTAGTTACTGTAGTTGGTGTAGTATATGTAGTTGATGTAGTTAGTGTAGTTAATGTAGTATATGTAGTTGGTGTAGTTAGTGTAATTGGTGTAGCTGCTGTAGTTGGTGTAGTTAGTGTAGTTTGTATAGTTACTGTAGTTGGTGCAGTATATGTAGCTGGTGTAGTTGCTGTAGTTGAAGGAGTATATGTAGTTGGCGTAGTTAGTGTAGTTAGTGTTGTTGGTGAAGTATATGTAGTTCGTGTAGTTTGTGTAGTTAGTGTCGTTGGCGTAGTTACTGTAGTTGGTGTAATATATGTAGTTGGTGTAGTATGTGTAGTTGGTGTAGTTAGTATAGTTGGTGTAGTTAGTGTAGTTGCTGTAGTATCTATAGTTGGTGTAGTTAGTGTAGTTGGCGTAGTTACTGTAGTTGGTGTAGTATATACACCAACTACACTAACTACACCACCTACACATACTACACCAACTACATATACTACAACAACTACACTAACTACACCAACTACATATACTACAGCAACTACACTTACTACACTAACTACACCAACTACACCAAGTACACATACTACGCCAACTACATATACTACAGCAACTACACTAACTACAGTAACTACACCAACTACATATACTACACCAACTACACTAACTACTCATACAACACCAACTACATTAACTACACTAACTACACCAAGTACACCAACTACAACAACTACACATACTACACAAACTACACAAAATACTAACTACATCAACTACACATACTACACCAACTACATATAGTACACCAACTACGCTAACTACACCACTTACACATACTACACCCACTACATATATTACACCAACTACACTAACTACACCAACTACACTAACTACACCAACTACACATACTACACCAACTACATATACTACACCAACTACACTAACTACACCAACTACACTAACTACACCAACTACACATACTACACCAACTAGATATACTACACCAACAACACCAACTACACTAACTACACCAGCTACAGCAACTACACCAACTACTCTAACTGCAGCAACTACACCAAACAGGAATGTCCCTATATTCGTGACGGTTATCATGAACCCATTACCCCAAAAAGGTACCATCTTTTCCACGAAAATCCTCTAACACTGCGTCCCCCATGACAGCTCGCCACGCCAGATGTTTCACATGAAATCGAGGGTGCAGTTCAAATTCCCCACCCGTAACCCATGGGGATCAAATTCCCCACCCCCTGGAAGATTCTGATAATCAAATTCCCTCCTCCCCGGGACAGCAAAGGTGTCAAATGCCCCGGGGGGGGGGGGGATGTTGAAGCTTCGATTTGACCGATACATTTGGAAGTTACCATCAGAGAGAGCGAGATATAATAGCAACCCGGCCTTATGAAAACAGTGAAGGAACCCCCAGACTCTGATGACACACCGAAATATTTAACATTACATGAACAGACAAAATTGAAGTAAAATTATAAAAAAGTGGTCGTTTTGTGGTTTTATAAAACATGTACAGCTAGCCACCCAGTTGTTCTTATATGTTACCTTGGATTATTATAATGCCTGCAAGAAATACGTGTTTACGTGACGAGACGAATTAAAAAGGCGACTACATTCGGGAACAACAAAATCTTGCTGTGTGAGAAACCTTTCCACGTTTAGAGAAGAATACAAGTTAAAAACCAACGGGCCTGGTGTAATTCTTGTGCTTACCTTATTTTCAATATAAAGTTGACAGAGAGCATTTGCATTCTATGGTTTTTATGCTGGACAGTAGGACAAATATGTTGGTTTGACATTGTTTTAGTACAGGAGAACCCCAGAACCAAAAGATTAAAACCAAAATATATATGTGGGAGATGCAGTGATCTACACACCTTAATCTTGACTGCCTTTCCTCTTTTGTAGTACAGTGGAACCCCGCCTTACGACCACCCTGTTTATACGACCACCTCGTTATCACGACCATATTCTTTCGACCCAAACGTAGTGATATCAGACGCTGTTAATGCGACCGCCTCGTTATTACGACCAGGATTTTATTGCCCAACTTTGGTCATATTAACGGGGTTCTACTATACTGTTATATCAAAAACGAGGTTTTCACTACATCTGGGTCAAACTGCAGTTTGGTGGTGTATCCGAGACGAACCAGCCGGGAGACCCAGAAAAAAATGCAAAACTCTCTCGACTGGTTTGTGGCCCCAAACATATCGGTAATTCACCACTTCACCACACATCATTCGAAATAACGCGAATTGCGAAAAGCTAAACTTCCTTGAAACAATTAAGAGACGCCACAACAAGAACTTTGTTTTTCATTTTGTTTTTATTATAGTTTTGACCGTTAAGACGGTATTCAAAGTGGTCGCAGGTGGCATCATAGTGTCTTCTACTCTGGAGGTATTAAGTCGCGGGTCCACATTTGACCAGCTCGTTTCTGCAGTTAATAAGTGCGTGCTTCCTGCTGGCACCAGCCTGATTCAAATAACCGAGGGCTGCGTCTGCCTCACAGTTCAAGCTGAAACTCTTGCAGCACTTGAAGCTTTGTGGAGTTTGTATAAGAATGGCACGCTAAGAGCACGGTTACAGGACTTCTTTGTCACTGAAGAAGTACGCGAAGAACTTGCCGGAGGGGAGGAATTGGAGGTGATTGTGACCATTGAGGAAGGAGAGTACCAAAAGGCTCTTCATGAGCTGTCCAGTGAAATTGAAGGTAACGTATTCACTCATGACTACCCCGTCTCCATTTTTACAACAAACGTTTTGAGAATTTTGAATCCAAACCGTCCATTCTAAAGTTAAAGTCAACTGCCGTTATTCGGCACACCTCGGGGTCGGGTTCCTTATTTTTTAACTTCCATAGAAACTTGTACCTTCACTTTTTGGAATTTGCAAACCTCGTGAAAAAAATTAAGTGGACTGGCCTTTTGGTGCGTCTCTCCACTTCGAGATCGGTACTTTTAAAGACCGTGTTTTAAAAATACTTTTCTACACCTTGTCTCGTGAAGTCGCTACCCTGTTATATGCCTACCTTTGGGTCCTACCCACTCGGGTAGGAAAATCAGAACACGGGATTCACTTTATCTTGCTCGCCTGCGGATTCAGCCACATAGACCGCTTGTCACGGTTTTAGATGCTATCTTGACGAGTAGGCAACCGCGTGAGAAATTACGGTGTTTGTATGAGAATCTAATGCCGTGTAATTTCCGTAAAACGGCTGTTCTGAAAAAAAATATATTAATTGCAAACCAAAGCTACACAACAAAGGATTTTACTAACAAATTTTGGAGGCCGTTACTGTGCTTAAATTTCTCCAGACGCTTGGTTTAGATTTTCCACATATTTGTCTGCAATTTTTGCGGGGAAATTTTAGTCGGTAGCAAGAGAAATTTTTACAGACAAAATTTATCGAAAATTTGAAAAAGTGGTTGTAGCGCATGTAGCTGCATGTATTGCTCTCAAATTTTTTCAGCAGGATCGTTACGAGTGAATCTTTAGCTTACAATTCATTTTTTCTTTTCCAGAACAGCCGTTTTACGGAAAAATTATTTGACATTGATTCTCACACAAACACTGTAATTTCTCACGCGGATGCCCACTCGTCAACATGGCTTCCAAACCGTGACAAAGTCTCTTATAAAGTGCATTATAAGGAGTACCCCTTACCCTGCTTGTTACAGTTGATAATGCCTGCCACCTACCTTTACTACTGTGAAGTCTGGTACCTGTTTTCTCTCTGAATTTAGAAAGCCCTGATAGTTGTGTAGAAGCGAAACCCATGAGAATTCACCGCAGGAATTCTGATTCTAACCTGTACTGCAAGACGATGGTTAGTGAAGGCTCAGGGCAACCACCTGTTGTAACAGAGAGACGTCCTGTCAATCAGTCCAGATACTTGGATCAGGAAAGATTTGCTTTCGTTCAGAATTATCTGGAAAAAGCCGAAGATGCCCAAAGCATGACAACTGAAACGAGTGACAGTGGGATACCGGGAACACATGGTGCGCCTTCTGAGTTTGGACTGGAAGACACGAGCGGTAAGTGAGTGAAAAGTTACTATCCTGTGGAACCTTGAAATGAATAACCTAAATGTCCTAGTCTTGATAGAGAACAACGGAGATTTCTACCCAGTACATAGTCTTTTAGTTCGTAATCTTGCAGTGGGAGGCCTTTCTGACTATTAGTGTGTTCTGTTCCAGGCGTTGCCTAATAACACACGCTTGAACTCCACGTCATGTTAATCACCACTCCTCCTCTTTAACAAGAATTTATGTGTGAGTTTGTTTTTCTCTTTTTAGAATCGTCTTATAAACGTCGCTTGCAAGATCTTCCCGAAAAGGTCACCAAGGAATTGAAGTGGCAACTTCAAATCGACCCAGTTGCTGAAAAGTGGTTTTATGAATCATTCGGGCTCGCTCCTCCCAAAGAAGGTAGAGATCCCCGAGTCCTCGAAGACCTCGAAATTCTGTTTCCTGAAACTCCTTTGAAATTACTTAAAGACGTGTTTGACGCCTTGCAATTATATGACCTCGTAGATCTCTTGGAGAAGGAGAAACCACGAACACTTCGTCCTTCTCTTCCACTGAGAGACATAAGAAAAAAACCTAATTATGGCGACCGTCCTACGAGGTTTTACAGTAAAGCAGCAGTGTTGACAATCGGCACCGGAACACTGGGTCAAGCCCAGAGTTACACCCAGAGAATTGGGTCATTTTTTAACGAGTTTAATTCACGGAGCAAATTAACCACAATATCACTGAAGACTTTTTCTCAAGTAAGTACGGTTCTAAGTGAATGGAGGGAAATCAAGAAGGACTTCGTGTGTGGGAATGTAGGACGGGCTGAGTCGATTTTAAAAGCGCAACTGCGATGGGTTTTGAATGTTGAGGAAGTATTGAAAATAAGGGAACAACTAGAGCGGTACGTAGAAATGAGAAAATTGAAGAAGAAAGATAGAAAACTGGAGTTTGAGAAGAGGATAAACCAGACGATGGAAGAACTACAGACGGAGGGTGAAAAATTTAAAATGAGTGTAGACCAATGGATAACGCGTAAAGGTTGGTTGAAATAACGTTTAACTCCCTACTTGTCAGAACTTGTTTGTTTGTCGGTTTAACAGAATGATATGGACACGCAACGTCACGTTTAGACCCAGATAAAATTAAGTAAACAATGGGCTTCAACTTAGCCTTCACTTCTTAAAGCTTGCTTATGCCACGGAGAGTAACGATTTGTTGGTGGAATTGTGGCAAGAAAAGCGGCCAACCAAGGGGTTAAGGGTGAAGTTGATTAAAAGGGTGTGAGAGATGGGTGCGGAGAAGCATTTAGGGTCCGTTATTACATTTGGGCCTTCTACATACGTTGTGGGATTAAGATAAGAAATTTTGCTGGAAAGTCCTTAGAAACTGTTGCTCACGTCATCAAACCAGTTTCTCAAGTTGTCATTACGCCGCTAATTATTGTTACTGGCAGAAAAGTAGCAAGACAAAAGTTGTCTTAAGTTGTCTGAGACTGCATTTCGACATCGAAATTCTGTTTTTGGAAACTCCTTTAAAATTACTTAAAGACGTGTTTGACGCCTGGCAATTATATGACCTCGTAGATCTCTTGGTGAAGGAGAAACCACGAACACTTCGTCATTCTCTTCCAATGCGGGCGAAAATTGTTATGCAAATGTACTTATGCAACTGAAGTGTGCACATTGCGTCCATCGCCATACGGGTATCCTGAATGAAAGAAATTTCTTCCAGTCAGTTAATCAGCCGCACAAAAAGAAGGAAAAAATTGCTCAAGTAGTGTGTCGTTTAACCTGACAGCAACGTGACATAATGGGCATTGATAGTTTGTACGATATTGCAAACTAGTAGGCCCATTCCTTAACAGCAGTATTTTGATATGGACCGCGGTTCTGTGCTTTTTTGCTTCCAAAACGTTAAACCCTAATTACGGGGGTGTTAGATAATGATAATTTTCCAAGCCTATTTTTGATCGAAGTGGATCTGTATTTTTTTGCTGTAGCTCACTCGGCGAAAAATAAAATTTACACAAATTTGCTTGGGGCCAATATGGTGCAAAAGAGTGCAAACGAGGAGGAAATCAAAGGCAAAAATGGTAAATACTGCATTTGCATACCGGTTTACATAGGGTTGTAAGTTCGTGTTCAGCATTCAAGGTACTTTTCACACCACCGTTGACTTCTTACGTTCTTAAGAATGGATTTAAGAATTTCTTTGCAATAGCTTAAAGTAGATTGGTTTACTGAGTTCAAAGGCAATTAAGTATTTAAACTGAAGCTTCGCTTTTAGGCTTGGCTAAATTTATATATGTAAGTTAATAGTTATTTGTTGCTTCCCCTCTAGATGAAGAATCCGCTACCCTCTTTGTCGTATTGGTAGATGCTGATACGAATGCCATTCCTGATGACGCCTACAGGATGATACTGACACGTTTAAAAGAGAAGTTGGCGGAAATTCCAGACGAACCAAAGTTGGTGGTCTTTCCTAAACCGTGGATAAAATTTAACGAAGTAATCCCAGAGGCACTCGTTGTGCAGTTTCCTACCGACAGAAATGGTTTTCAGGAGACCATGCTGGAGGTTTTCTCTAAGCGTTGGCAAACACTGGACCTCGTCTCAATGATACACGAGGTACAAAGGACTTTTCCGCTTAAAACAGTCAGTTCCTTCCACTACGCGAGGCCAATTTGGTGGATTCGCGATGACTTCAGGCGCTTTACGATTGTAGATGATCGTTTGTCTTCACTGCCAAGACTTCAAAAGACGGAGGAAAATTCGAAAACATGACGAAACCCCAATTGGTCGACCTGTTCGTTTAAGCCTTTTCATAACTTCGCAGTAGGACTACTCTGCTGTACCCTGGTCCCAGAGGTTTTTCTTGATTTTTCTTCGCAAAAGAGATCAAGAGCAAGCCGCGAAGCGGCGACAACGAGTTGCGAAAGCGACGAAGTGAGATAGAAAAACCTCTGGTTACCTTGGCCTCGAATCTCACTTTCATGCAGACGACAGGGTCAGGATCTGACCCTCGGGCGTTGATTGGTTGATATTTTTTCAAACACGCAAAACAATTTGATTGGCTCGTTTAATTGGAACTACCAAGGGGACGCTGAAGATTTTCACACCTCATTCTGTCTCTCTCTACCAGGGAAGAAAAGTGTTTGTATGCTGCACTCGCAATAACATTTGCACGGGACCAAGGCACGTAAAGGTACGCCATATTTCGAGATTTTGACATGGATGTTGTTCCTCAAAGAATATTCGAAGAAATTTTGACCTCGGTACTTGATGAGCGCTTTCCCGAGTCTCACTGAGCAACAAAAGAAAGCTTTGTTCGCCGCGTTGAGTCGAAAGGATGTGTTAACCATTTTATCAACCGGACATGGAAAGTATATAATATTTCAGTCGTTACCTGATGTTTGCAAGTACCTCTCCTTAAGAGGCTACTTATACCCTCGCCATGCAATAATTTTGGTTGTCTGTCCTCTCAAGTCTCTTGTGGACTCGCATATCCGCGAACTGCGAACCGTGGAGTCTCAGCAACCAGTTTGAGCAGTCCAGACGTTGACCACCAGAATCTCGTGTCTCGAAATATTTACCATTTTCTGTTACAATACTGTCATTCCATTAAATAAACTAACTTGTTTAGGGCAGCAAAATATAAACCTCCGAATACGGAATGAAAGTTTCCTGGTAGAAAAAAAAACATACAACTTTGTACAAGTACGTAATTATTTTCGGTGCAGCTTGCATTTTCCTGGGACGCCCAATATTTATCTTGAAAGATCTAATCAACGTTATTTTTGGCACTGGGCCAACAAAAAACCTCTGAAAGTACATTCCGAACCTTAAGGGTTTGTTGTGTTGCATGATTCTTCCTAGCGCCGTTGTTCCACAAAAAAAAGGAAATGGAGCCGCCAAACCAAAATGCGAGCCAGATTGCCAGAATACATATTAATATTACTATTTTGAGGGGAATGCCCGCGAATCGACGCGAACGGCGCGCCCCGCAAAAGTAAACAATATAATAAGCGCGATTGATAGACTCTTGCAAACTTTACAACTTCTTCTCGCTGGCACTTCTGACAGATAATCCCGTTGAGTCATGTACACAGCAGAACAGATGTTTGTGAAAAATCCTTGATGTTATACCCAAAAACGTTGATTTTAGATCGGCCACTTATTTTTACATAAATTCTGCGAATCCTGCGGCAGTCGTTTGGAACAATGTTGGTTTCTTTATAAAGTGGTGTTCTTATTCCTGGACTCTTGTCGCCCATCGTTAACACATGCTTTAGCTTGATCCCGATTAACAAATCACTCTTTACTACCTAAGTGGAGATGGTTTGTTCATAACATAATCTCCCCAAGTCTACCCCCACTTAAAAAAAATAGTGGCTGAAAAAGCACGTGTTTGCTAAATTGCCATTGGTCACTCTTTTCATTAGCAACTTGACGCGTTTGACAGCTGTCGTCTGAATGAAAGTGAGATTCGAGGCCAAGGTAACCAGAGGTTTTTCTCTCTCTCCTCATCGCTTTCGCGACTCGTTGTCGCCGCTTCGCGGCTTGCTCTTGATCTCTTTTGCGAAGAAAAATCAAGAGAAACCTCTGGGACCAGGGTAACTCTGCTGGAGTATTAACCTCTTTTCAATTCCACCGTTGTCACTATAGTAGAAAAGCAAAAGAAAAGAAACGGCGAGAATCGAAAAAAAGCACTTGAACTTCGAAAGTAAAATGGCTTATAGCTGTTTCTTCTGAGAATTGTGATTATCTAGGATAAGGCACTGTTGATAAGGTATATCAATATTTTTTACAGTGACCTGCGTTGCAGCCAGCCGACGCATCGTCTAGACCAATTTTACAGAAGGTTTAGAGTGGTCTGCGACGCAGGCTAACTACATATCAGGACATATGCGCTATTTTAAACTTGAGCCAACACAGTTTAATTTTAGACGATTGAATCAGTATTATTCGATATATGAATTCGCCAAATTTGACTCCGATGACCATGGCCTTCAAAACTAAGGGTGCAAAAGTCGCTAGCCGTCAATGAGCCGGCAGAGAATTCAGTCCAATACCTCAGCTCTTAAACGAATATCTCGCTTTGTCCCCGTGAACACTATGATTTTCCTATGTAAAACGTTTCTAGTTCGACATTTAAATACAGTTTTTGTTGGTCTAGGTAACTTGTGCAGAGCGGTAGACTCAAAGATGCCAACTATTATATCTTAAGAGCTCTATTAATTTATGACTAAGAAAGAAAGCACCAAAGCTTACAGAATCTCGTGGGCTGATGAATACTTTGAAACACCGTCGTTATTACCCGGGGGGGGGGGGTACTCCTGGGAATTCTTGATGGTGTGCCGCCCGGTGCTCCAAATCGTGACCCTATTTCAGATCAAAAAATGTAATTTGCCACCCCTGTTTTCAGACCAGGCCTCTAGAAACCATACCTGTTTTCAGACCTGGCCGTTATGTTATCATTACTTTGATCAGAGCGCAAAACAAAAAAAATTCTTCAAGTCCATTTCGAATTCGCATGTTTCTATTTCTTTCTTACTCATTGGGAATTGAAACTATAAATACGTTTATAGACTGCCGTAGTTCCCTCGAAAACCATACCGACCCCAGACCAAAATGGTCAAAGTGAATACCCGTTTTCTAACCAAAACGGCGCAAAAACGCTACCCAATGGGGCGGGACATACCTATATAGCTCATATAAGGGAGTACCCCCCGGGCTTTATTACTAAGCTCTGGTGTTGACTTTTAAATGTCTTCAACTCAACAGGTTCATAGTACATTGCCGATTTATTTGAATTTAACTAATGGGTAAGGGAAGTAACTTGGCACAGCCTTATGTTAGCACTGAGTGGATGCTTAAATCGTTTTCATTTACGGCTAGCAAGCTGTGGAATAAGCTACCGTTATACATTAGAAACTCCGATAATCTTTAAACAAGGCTCTTCCGAAGTTCAGTTTAGAATTTGTATACTACTTGTTTTGTTTTGTGTATGTCACGAGGTTACTTTATCATATCATGATTTTTTAGCCTATTTTATTCTTTGCTATCATTGTTTGTGACCTGTTCCGAATGTTCATGTTAAAGTTTAGGTCTTTGTAAATACAGTTGACTCTCGATAACTCGAACCCTCGCTAACTCGAACCTCGGGCTAACCCGAACCAAAATCGATTTCCCCTGGATTTCCGTCATACATTTACTGTAATTTTACCCTCGCTAACTCGAAGTAATTTTTGTTTCCCCTCAGATCATTTCCATATAATTTTACCCTCGATAACTCGAACCATGTTTTGAGCCCTTAAAAAGTCGGGAAAAAACAGTGTACTGCCTCCGAAGCATTGAATTTTGAATTTCCCATTGACGTGTTGTAGGCATCTAGTTTACTAGTGGATCGATAGTGGAGGCTGATGTTGTGTGTCACAAATCTAACGTGAAATAGCTTTACTTCTCAAAAAGTAAAATGCATGCTCTATTTAGGCAACGTTTTGTTACTTTACGTTCTGATTTATAATCTAAAAGTATCTTTCAATTTTCACTCAACATTTCTACAATTAAATGTGATTAAAATGCTCGCTGTGCTGTAAAAACTGTTTTTTTTCCTTACTCCCGGTTATTTTCTTCGAGCTCCCGATAACTCGAACCTTTTTCGATTTCCATTGAAGGTTCGAGTAATCGGGAGTCAACTGTAGTTGTTATATGATAATATACTTTCATGTAATAGATATTAGATCTTACTTAGTTAAAGTTTTTTCCTTAGGTTTTTTTTTGTCTAGTATAATATATAGATTTAGCCAGGGCTAAAAGCGAAGCTCCTATTAACTCGAATTTATAATTTAAATCAAACAATAAACTTGCAATTGTATTTTACAAATCAGTTAACTTTAGAGCACATTCATGTGACGTTTGAGGGAAAGGCTAAGTAATTTTAGAGAAAAATAATTTGCAAACAGTCCAAGCTAAGAGTGAACTTAATCTTACATCGAGTTGACAGCCTTATATGTACACCCAAAAAATAGCAATCATCTTCTATCACATTCAAGGGCCATAATGGCTCTTGATCACAGTAGATTAAGCCTGGAAAACAAATTCTCGGAAAACAAATCAGGCCCAATTTTTTGCGTTCGACAAGTTTACAATTTATTTTACAAAATCTTGCTAACAAGTCTGGGGACGTGTAAACCAACCTTTTATACTTTTTGTACATCATCTGAGGTGAAACAGTACCATGAGGCACTGTTTTTATCATACAGACCTCGGACAGATCACAATTTTGCAACACAAACTGTACTCATTCAACATTCAGGTCGATCGAAGCACGCCTGGGCTTTTACCGAAACCGTTAAAAAAATTTCTAAAATCACCTATACGGCTTTCCGGTTCTCACTTTTGACAAGCGCCAAAGTCGACTGTTTAAATCAAGATTAATAAAGTTATAGGCTTTAACATGACGAAAAATATATTATGTTTATTTCTTTATTTAACGGTTTTATAACTATGTGTAATCTTCAAAAGCGTTTGATACACGCTGCATTTTGACTACTCCTCCAAGCGATGTTCGTGAGCGACTGAAAACAAACGGCACAGCGATTAAAATTGCAAAAGAGACTACTAACAATCAATACAAGGATAATAATTTGGTGAAACATATACAGAGACAACAATTTTCATTCACAAAGACAAGTAAGGAAAAGTGTCTCTGAAAATCCTTGTTTATGTTGTAAGCCGCCGGTTTCCCGGTGTTTGCTTTTTTCAAAGATGAACTCGAGGCAAGAAAATCGTTCAAAGCTTTCTTTTACAGCCAGAATTATAACTAAATATTCTTTGGAACGTTTTCTTTCTATTTGCAGTGAGAAAATGTCTAAAGGCTTTTTAGAGTTCTATAAGCTTATAATCAAACCCGATTCTCGGTCAGATCGATCATTGTCTCAAATCTTACAAACGTGCATAAACTAGGGTGGACCCTCCCTTCTGGACCCCCCTTTTGGACCCCCTTCTGGACCCCTTTCTAGAACCCTCTTTTTTTTTCAATAAAAAGAAATAAAAAAAATATATATATATATATATATAAACGATCAATGATTACTCCTGAAGCCTGAACTCCTGTGATTATTAATAGTCTTAATAGTCAATGCTCTTCAATTAAATGAATTGAGCGCTCTACGGAATACGTTCTACCCAGAATACAAGTATTTTTATATATATATATATATATATATATATATATATATATACTTGTATTCTGGGTAGAACGTATTCCGTAGAGCGCTCAATTCATTTAATTGAAGAGCATTGATTATTAATAATCACAGGAGTTCAGGCTTCAGGAGTAATCATTGATCGTTTATTGCGACAGTGCTGTTTCGTAGTATGGTCCGAAATTGTAGGACCACACTCATCAGGCAACTTCAACGATTGACCGTTAAAATTAAAAGCTGGCAGTAAATATATCATATATCATATATCATATATATATACGATCAATGATTACTCCTGAAGCCTGAACTCCTGTGATTATTATATATATATATATATATATATATATATATATATATATATATATATATATATATATATATATATATATATATATATATATATATATATATATATATACTATAAGTAGATAAAATGAAGACTTCATCTGCTATAAGAGTGCTCAATGGTAACACCAGAGCTGTAAATAGATAAAAGATGAACTTCTGGAGTCGGACTAGTTCAAAAACATTTACTCGCTACTCGGAGTTTCATGCCTCTAGAGAAGCAATCATCAGGCGACTGACAACATTAGCGGTCACATGTAAAGATATACAAATTTGAAAAGACGTAAGAATTCTGATTGGACGGCTAAAATGCTAAACGAACAGGTAAATCTATATTAGGTTATCGCGGTATTTAAAAGAAATTTCTTAGAATGTCTACAGATCGATGACAGTTCGTTTCTACGATTGAGTGTCGACAACCTAATATAGATTTACCTGTTCGTTTAGCATTTTAGCCGTCCAATCAGAATTCTTACGTCTTTTCAAATTTGTATATCTTTACATGTGACCGCTAATGTTGTCAGTCGCCTGATGATTGCTTCTCTAGAGGCATGAAACTCCGAGTAGCGATTAAATGTTTTTTAACTAGTCCGACTCCAGAAGTTCATCTTTTATCTATATATATATATATATATATATATAATATTAAAAAACGCAAGCAAACAAATAATAAAGTCCCCTACCATCACTCCGTCTTGCACATTTTACCATAAAGCTCGAAAGGTGACCGGATAAAGTGCTTCCATGATACAAATAAAATTTCTATGCTTGTACTATAAAGGCTGACAAACGAATATTTCACCAGTATCCACAAAACTTTGCGTGCTGCTAAACAAGACGACTGCTCTCGCCTACTACGGCTACGTGAACAACAACTCCCTTCATTTTCTTCTGCCATCTTGGTTTTACCGCTGCCCGATACCAACGGGGTCACATAGCCTGAGTGTCGCAGATTGTAAAAATGGCGTCGGCGTGCGCGTGGGATGGTAAGTTGCATAGAATCTATTTGTATCCTATTATTTTGTTTTGTCATGGCTTTCAAAAAGGCCTCCTGTACGTTCTAGATGGCTTAATTTACTAATGAATGTCTTCAATTTATTTGCAGAGGATGACGTAGCCTGTTCCAGGCATTCAGATAGTGGGGAGCGGTGCGAAGTAAAAAGGAGCGCGAAAAAATAAAAGCGAGGGAGGAGGAGAGGTCCCCCTCTACTTTTCATCGCTTTCTTTACTCCGCACTGCTCTCCACTATCTGAACGCCTGGAACAGGCTAAGGATGACGAAGTGCAGTTTACCGAGGTAATTAAGAAATTAAAGTATCGTGTGAGCCCGTGAGACTGAGAATCCCCCACGTACCATCCCACGCGCACGCCGACGTCATTTTTACAATCTGCGACACTCGGGCTATGTGACCCCGCTGGTATCGGGCAGCGGTAAAACCAAGATGGCAGAAGAAAATGGCGCGAGTTTGTTGTTCATACAGCCGTAGTAGGCGTGAGCAGTCGTCTTGTTTAGCAGCACACAAAGTTTTGCGGATACTGGCGATATATTCGTTTGTCAGCCTTTATAGTACGAGCATAGAAATTTTATTTGTATCTTGGAAGAACTTTATCTGGTCACCTTTCAAGCTTCATGGTAAAATGTGCAAGATGGAGTGATGGTAGGGGACTTTATTATTTGTTTGCCTGCATTTTTTAATGTCTGTATTTATTTTTTATTTGTTTATTTTTTTCTTTAAAAAAAGAGGGGTCCAGAATGGGGTCCAGAAGGGGGTCCAAAAAGGGGTCCAAAAGGGGGATCCAGAAGGGAGGGTCCACGTTTTGTCTACACCCCATAAACTAAATAGCCGCATAAACTACGCCCGACTTCATTAACTTAGATATAAAAAACAAACATCAAATACAATAATTACTCAGGCTTACCATTCGAGATGCTCTGAAAACCATCAAGTAAGACCAGAATCCCTTCAGACTTTTCAACCCTCTTACGCATCAAGCAAGGTGAAAAACGAAAACGATGCCATCCGAAATCGGATTTCCGACTTTGACAAGCGACGTATTTCTCAACCAAAAACCCAATAAACAAACTAGCTATGAATAACAGAAGACTCTTGATAGCAGCAAAATTTCATTTTGTACATTCAGCGGAGAAAGACAGTTAAAAACATCACAAGTTGACACAAAACTCAGCTTCAGCTGTCAAAGTAAACAAGTTTCAAGATGCTGCATAAATTTTCCGCATGAACTCACCTGTCAAATTTTGACCAATCAGAGCATAAAAATTGGACGTAGAGCGTGACCAACGCGTGACCTTGGTGAGAAAAGTCAAAAGCAACTGGCATATCTTCCCTGCCTGTAAAAACTGGCTGAATTTTAGCTTCCGAGGTCAGTTTGAAATCAAAATTTTAATTGTGCGACACATATAAAACACAACATATTTCATATGAATTGAAAAAAATTAAACTTGAGCCTGCGATCATTTGAAAACTAGCAACTTGTCAGCGGATAACTTCAAAAAGATACTCGACCTCGATGGGTCGATACCTGAGCCCGCGATACGGTCAGGTGATACTGGTCAGAGAATGCCCTGTTTTGACAGCTGTCAATTGATCACAACATTGATGCACAATATGTGTGCAATATCAGTCTTCCTGTGCTACCAAACTAGCTAGAAAGTGTGAGATTGAACATTGGTTGTCCTGTGGTGCGGACGGACGAGCGGGCGGGCTGCGGGCGGTGTACGGTCACGTGATTACCAAATTTTCTCGGATGGGTAGATTTACTTGCCCATGGTGCTCCGCAGGCGCGCTTCGCGCACCAGAGCTCCGCTATTACTGCACGTTCGAGCGAGTTTTTATTAACTCCTAGGTGTTACCCGGCTGTTTAAATAAACTACTTTCTTACTCACTTACTTATAGCCTTAACAAAAATGGGGCAAAATTTTTAGCTATATCATGAACGTATCCTTCCCAAAACCTCGGGAAGTCGACCAAACTTTTTACTATTTGCTCAAGTCGCCACCCTTTGCCCTCCACTCCTTCCCCCAAAGCGGATTTACATCAGGATAGGTGAATATCCATAGAACTAGATGGAGTTTTAGAGAAAGATGGACTGAAATCGGTCTAGTCAATACCTTTGTTCTTCAATATGGGCCCACTTAAGAGCAAACTTGAGGAATTACTAAAACTCGTTGTGCTCTTTCTGATCATGTGCGTATTGGGTTTACAATCCCATAAAAACTTTAACCTGTTCGTTTCGCCTTGCCCGCCGGAATGTTATTACAAAGCGAAACGAAAATTGAGCCTGGTCTCAGGTTAATAAAACATTGACTCGTACCTAGTCCCCCACGATATGAAAGTCGGTCACGGCTTTGAGCTAGCCTGCGGTTTAATTCTTGAGGTTCGTGTGCTCGCCAGGCTTACGGCCTCTATATAACGCCTTAAAAGAAAATTTTACGTTGTAGTCGCGCTGTGTCAGCAAGGAGATGCGTAAAAAAGTACGATGGACGTGCAAAGTTATCGTTTTCCTCATTAGACCTTTTACTTCTTCAGCGTTCTTGTTACCGTCAATATCTTCGTTGCTAAAACTCCCTTATGTGTAGTAGTATACCGTAGTCTGCGAAGCGCTAGGCCTGCACATGTTTTCCACCGCTGGGTAACTGTTTCAAGCCGATTTTTGCCCCCTACAAAGGAAAAAAAACAGCAACGAGCAAATAACCCACGTATTGAACATTTTATAAGTGCAAGAAGTCTAAAAGAAATCTTCTCGTTACTTAAACATTTCTGCTCTTACACCCCTTGCTTTTTCTTCACTGATATCATTAAGAGAAGCGGCAAGAATCCCAAGATTTGCCAGCTTGTCAACCTGGTCTTTCATAAGATTCACAAGCGGAGAAGCCACAACAACATGGCCAGCAGCTTCAAAAATTGAGTCGAAAACAGACGGTAAAGCTTGATAAATAAGCGGCTATTTTTTGATGGGTATCTTCGAGGAAAAAACCTTTGTTTACAACCTGAAAGCGTGCCGAGAAATAGAGAGTATAAACATGCTGTAAACTTGGAAATATTTTAAAAGAGTAATAGAATAATTATTGTTATCCACTTCTACGTCACCGACTGCCTGAACATTTGTAGCTGTCTACATCTCGATCGCCAATAATTTCATTTTTTGCCGAGTCATGCAATTTGCTTAAATGAAAAGTTGATTACTTTTGGTTTATTCTTTACTTCTATGCCATTCCCTTCCTTCCGCTAGCTGTGGTAATGTACAGTTACAGGAACGTGTTGAAAATGATTAAGGAACACAACATTGGAACAGCGCAAAACTTCGATCAAACAGCAAGGAGACAGTTCCCTCAAAGGAATTCGACTAAGCGAGTCTCTGTTCTTTTTCG